CTTGAGAGTCTTCTTTCACCGTTTCTTCGGTGTTGCCTATTGCATCTTCCGCGTCATCTATCGGTGAGAACTCTATGGGTTTCTGGTTCGGTTCCTCTGCATTGGGCATTGGAGTTGACTCTGTCGCCATCTTCCTTGTTTCATCCACACTTTGATCGGGTGTCTCTAGATCAATCTCGATGGTGGGTTCTACTCGCTCCCCTTCCGTGCCCTCTTTCGCCCTGTTCTCCGCTGTACTCCTTGTGCTGACCATGTTAACTGAAAAGTTCTTCTTTGTTATCTTTGGGCCCGTTGATGTTGTTCCGCGCAGCGATGAATTATATTTCGTGTTTGATCCACTTGACCTTTTTTCGAGCACCGGTACCCTACTCCGCCTCATTATTTCTATTTACAACTGCTTTTATTTACAATTTTATTATATACACGATTCTATTCTAAGAGTAAAAAATAATAAATAAAAAAAATTTTTTTTTTTTTTTTGTACAACGTGTTAAAAACCTTGTTCCAGTTCTCTTTCTAAAACCTTCGAAAAATTTCCCTTAATGTGGTCTTAACCGTACCTATTTCGATTTGTCTTATTCTGTCTTAAAACACACTTGTTGTAATTTTACTTCAATTTTTATACCGTCCCAAGACTATTCGTCACTATCCCAGTACTCTCCGCTAGTGTCCTAAGACCCTTGTACCAAGGCCACTGTTCCAAGACTACTGTCCCAAGACTAGTGTCCCAAGGCTACTGTCCCAAGACTAGTGTCCCAAGGCTAGTGTCCCAAGACTACTGTCCCAAGACTAGTGTCCCAAGGGTAGTGTCCCAAGACCAGTGTCCCAAGGCTAGTGTCCCAAGACTACTGTCCCAAGACTAGTGTCCCAAGGCTAGTGTCCCAAGACTACTGTCCCAAGACTAGTGTCCCAAGGGCAGTGTCCCAAGACCAGTGTCCCAAGGCTGGTGTCCCAAGACTACTGTCCCAAGACCAGTGTCCCAAGACCAGTGCCCCAAGGCTAGTGTCCCAAGACTAGTGTCCCAAGACCCTTGTCCCAAGACCACTGTCCCAAGACCTCTGTCCCAAGACCCTGTCCCAAGACCCTGTCCCAAGACCACTGTCCCAAGACCCTGTCCCAAGACCACTGTCCCAAGACCCCTGTCCCAAGACCCTGTCCCAAGACCCTGTCCCAAGACCACTGTCCCAAGACCCTGTCCCAAGACCCTGTCCCAAGACCCTCGTCCCAAGACCACTGTCCCAAGACCCTGTCCCAAGACCACTGTCCCAAGACCCTGTCCCAAGACCCTGTCCCAAGACTCTTGTCCCAAGACCCTTGTCCCAAGACCACCGTCCCAAGACCTTGTCCCAAGGCCACTGTCCCAAGACCCTGTCCCAAGGGCACTGTCCCAAGACCCCGTCCCAAGACTTCTTCGGTACTGTCCCAAGACTCGTCACGGAGTGTCTTCCTCGTTGTAGGGTCTTCCTGAATCACCCTACCTTGTACCACCACTCAAGCTCTAGTAAAATTTTCCCAAAAACCCTCTCTTAAAAACCAAATGCTGACCCCCTCTTCTTTTTGGTTGTTTCTATTTCAATGTAGGTGCGCAGGTATCTTGTGATCACCTGTTCGTATAAAACCAAACACAAATCCTCACTAAAATGCAACAAAAATCTAAGTAAGAAAAATAATAAAAACTGAAAAATGAGCCCACCTGAAATTCAAAGGTGACCAATGTCTACCTTTCGTCTAAAAAAATGTCTGGTACCTAATTGCCACGCGTTTTCCTCCCCCCACTAGTGATCTTATGGGGTATCACAAAAGCTGTCTATATCCGGTCCCCCCTACCAAACCAACCAGCGTACCAGTCTTAACTCGAGTTGAATTTTGGATATTCACCTATTATCACCAACGCGTGTTGTGGCTAATGTAACTAAGTCGACGATGTCGATTAATTAGTTACTCTAGTTTCTCCCTTTTTACAATTTACAACCGCCAACCTCTAACTTAACCAGCCCCCTTTCTAACCTCCGCCCTTTTTAGCCCCCCTTCCTAAGCCTAAAATTACCTTAAGCGCCGGGTGCTAAACCTCTCAAGAGAAAACCGTAGACCTGTCTCCAGGCCTGCTCAAGTAAAAACGTTCCTCAAAACCGGGGGATGTCGCTTATCCTATTTTACGCTTATCTCCTATAATGTAATGTGGATTTTAACGATACCCGTTCTGCCCAATTTGAGAACTCGAGAATTGCCAAATCCTTCTTGGCTGCTTTCACACTCGACTGGTCACCTGTTCCAGTCCAGTCTCCTTTTGGTTCAGCTCAAGTGTCCCTGAACCACTTTCCCACTCGGCTGGTCACCTCTTCCAGTCAAGTCTCCTATTGGTTCAGCTCAAGTGTCCGTGAACCACTTTCCCACTCAGCTGGTCACCTCTTCCAGTCAAGTCTCCTATTGGTTCAGCTCAAGTGTCCCTGAACCACTTTCCCACTCGGCTGGTCACCTCTTCCAGTGAAGTCTCCTATTGGTCCAGCTAAGTTCCAAACTACCTGAAAACCCTTGACAACGCCCCACACTCGGGCACTTTACTACGGTTACTGGGTTAAATTGCTAGGTTGATCAAAACGATCGAACTTATAAAACAGTATGGGTATACTATTTAATTAATATAAAGGTTTGATCCAACTGGTCTGGTGTCAAAGTCACTGTCTTTTTTCGTTTTATGGTTTTTGTTTTGCTTGTTGTCTTTTTGCTCGTGTTTTTGTCCCCCTAGTTGCCCCCCTTTACTCGGTTAGCTAAGCCTCGTTCGGAGAGCGTACCAGGAAGTTTTCTTGAGTTTTCTTAAAAAGCTATCACGGTACAACCGGAAGGTTTGCACGTTCCTGTCGAACCGTACCGCCGGTACTCTAGAATGGGCATTCAGCCCGAAGCTGTCTCAAGTGGGTTCGACTCCGTAGTCTTGATGTCGTAAACACCCAGGAGCGCCATAAAAACACTATGTAACATTCGTCTACTGCAGTCACACATGAGGCTTAAGAAAAATAGGCCCTATAACCACTGGCTCAAGGGTCAGGGACACCATCTCTTGTGTTTTTCTACCTCAAGAACGGTCGGAGCCAGTTCAGTTCGTTTGTGACATGAGACTACGACCCGTTACAGCTTAAAGGCTACTACTAAAATATCCCCCCACTCTAGAATTAGAAACGTCCCCATACTTAGGTCTCTAGATACCCAAAATACATGAACGCCGTTAAAAACCGGGTTGGAACAATCCGTTAAGTTGCTTTTTTATTAGACAGTGGAACTTTGATCCATTTCAGATGGATCAACCTAAAACTCGCCTTACCTCAACATAACAATTATAAAACACACTCTAGGAATTTAAATTTGTACTCACATAGTAGCACGCTCAAGAAGTGGGAAATAATCCAGTCGGTAGTTAACTCAAGAATTAAATAACGTAACTAAATGAGTCTAATGTTTTATAGTTTTGACAATGAGAACGAGTTTATACTCTAGACAATAGTTTCCTTGTGAACCATTAGGACACTCAAGCTGTCCACCTTTCCACCGAAGGTTCACTCTAGTCCAGTTCCGAATAATACTCCAGTCGTTATAATCCAATTCGAGGGAATGCTCTCGTCTCTGTCACAGATGGGACAGCTCTACTCTCGATTATGATAGTGATGGAAATTGCGAATAGCAATTTCCTACTGCTTTTTCTCACAACTTTCCCGCGTGTGTGTCTCAATCGTTCTGAAATTGTTCTGATTTCTTTTTTCTGATTTTCAGTTATCGCGAGAAAATCGTGCATGACAGGTTCCATTCGAAATTTTGAAAAATTAAATTTCACTCCAAAATCAAGTGTTTTTTGCTTCTCTCAAGGTCAAACTTCCAAATATGACCGACTGGCACATATAGTCTTTCACCATATACTGTCTCTGGGGGCCGAGCCTCGAGCCTCACACAGATTCTCCAGGCGTTCATTTTTGAATGCCCTATTAAAGCAAAAATAAACTCGCCTCCACTCACATTCTTCTGTTTTAGAGCCACGACACAGCCACAGGACAGATCAGAAGCGATCAGACGGTTTGACGCTCGTCCCATGGGCTCTTGGTAGGCAGCTTCTGTGGGATGTAACGGTAGTTGACTCCCTAGCCCCCAGTAAAAAAAGCGCATGCTGGGTTTGTAACCCCAGAGCGGCCGTGGCTGAGGCGGAAGATCAAAAATCTTTTAAATATGGAGATTCAACTAATGATGGATATATTTTCTAACCAAGAGCTTTTGAAGTTAAGGGTGCCACCGGCAATACCACTGAGATTTTTCTGAATAAGCTTTGTAAGAACTTGTGCTCGTGTACCGAGGAACCCAGAGCAGGTCGTTTTTTAAGCAGAGAATCTCCTTCGCAATACAGGTTGCGAACGCTGCCTGTTGGCTCGTCACTTTTAATGATAAAAATACTTTCGAAGAAATTTTTTTTTAGAGCCAAGGGAAAAAAGCGCAGCTTTATGTAAGTCTTTGATAGACCCGTAGCCTCACATCAGGTCAGTCTTTTTGCATATCAGGTCAGTATTTTTGAGTAACCTTCAACTGCGGTTTATTCTATGCAGTTGTTAGTTTTCTCAATCTGGTTGGGTTGATTCCCAGCCATCTTGACTCTCTTTACTTCTATCCACATTATACTTTACTCTCCCATATCTAGAAAATTCCGTGGATTTTGACTGGATAATGTGATGAAGGGACTCCTGACTGTAACCTCGGTTACTATGATACTTTCGACCTTCTGATTATCATTAAAAAAAATTTAAATGATCAAAAAAGAAAAAATCATTAAAGCTTGTTTACGGCTAGTGTTTTGTGTTTCTGGAAAGTTTTTCTGGAATCGAATGCTTTTTTTTCAATTTTTGACGCAGGGATCACCGTTTATTTTTATATCCGCTATCTTGTATTAATATGTTTGCGCTCGGTGTACCGCAAGAGTTATGAAGCTCCGCTTTTCCTCTCTGATGTGATAATAACTCTGTTACAGATCATGGATGCTCTTCATCTTCCAGTATTCATACATCCAACTGAGTTTTTCTTCAACCTTTCAGACCGAAGCTCACACAAACAGTTACTGACAATATACAACCCTTATGATTTTCCTATACGGTATAAACGTGAGTTTTTTTTTACAAGTTTGTCTTTGAAGCGAAGTAAAAGGGAAAATGAGGACCGGTTACTACTCAGTCCCAAATCCAACCCGAAGCTAAACCTTTCATTATTTGGTTTCCCTATTGTAGAAAATATTTAATATTACGATTTTAAGTCATAAAATAGCAATATGTCACGATGAAAGCCAGATCAGTGTGTAGTTTTAGAGGAATTAAAATATTTCGAAAAACTTTTCGATATAAACCAGCGGACACAAGCTTTTTAAGCGCAAGAAGCTTTTCAAGGACAGTTTCGGAGAATTTATACTCAGATGCTTCATGTGTATTTATACTTCATGTGTATTTATACTCATGTGTATTTATACTCAGAGGCTTCAAGGCAATATGAATGATTGCGCTTGCGATAAGCCAGCGTTTTCAAACTGGAATATAAACTTTTTTTTTCTGGTTAACAACTAGTCTAACAAAATCAGTTGAATCATTTTGCAGCATTCAATTTTGTAGCAACCAAAGATGCTCAGTTTCTTGAAAGTTCAATTTTAACTACTGACTGAGTACTATTTCCTAAAGGGTAGTTTCAGGGGGGACTTGAAACTTTTTAAAGTTTTTTTACATAGTAAGTTTTTTTTCGGCTCAACTGGTGTCTGCTCAAAGATTGTTTCCGCTTCGTAAGTTTGACCAAAAAATACTCCTCTGTATCTGAGATTTGGGGTTCAATCCAAAGAACGCGTTGTAGCAAGCTCTTTTGCATATGCGACTACGCCGAAATTGTTTTTAAAAAAAAAAACAAATTTTGGCCCTCGGAAAACTCAAATTTTTGATTTTTTGACCGGTTTTGAAAATTTTTTGACTTCTCTCGAGAACTAACTGGCCAAACCTAGGTTTTCAGATTTAATCAAAATAACAGACTGGGTGAATATCTTCTACATTAGAGGCTACTCCCAACTTTTGAAAACCAAAAAGTTGTGGTTCTCGGAAATGTAAGCTCTCTGATTTTTTCACCGTTTTTTGGTCTTTTTCTAGATAACTATCCTCCCAATACTGATATCATAGGTTTATTCGACCCAACAGGTTGTTGAAAGCGTAACTTTGTAATTTGCTACTCCCAGTTTCTGCTAGAAAAAAAGGTATGACCTTAAAATAAGTGAAAATTTCTTAAAATAAGTGAAAAAGTTTTTTAGACTCGAAATCTCAAAAATTCAAAAAATGTTTAGTAATTACCTCCAACTTTATCTGAGCCCTAAGTGACCTTCATCGAGAGATGAGAAAATTTTGGATCACCTAGTTGTTTTTTTCTGCATTTTTTTTTTCGACTCATGCTTTTCGAATATTTTCATGCCCTTTTTTTGACTGTGTTGTATCGCAAGTGGTGCGAAGCTTCGCTTCGCCTCTGTTTAAAGCTACGTCCTACATTTTTTTTGCAGAGCCAAGGGAACGGAAAGGCAGCCTAGTATAAGTTTCTAATATATCGGTAGCCTTAAATCGGTTCATTTTTTTTGAGTTGCTTTCAACTCCAGTTTATTCTGCGCATGTGTTAGTTGTCTCAATCTGGTTGATTTGATTCCCAACAATCTAATTTTCTTTACTTTTCTCGACGTTATACTGTACTTTTCCCCCTAAATCATGAAATTCCGTGAGTTTTTTTGACTTGGTGAAATGACGAGAGACAAGTTTACTTACTTCGGTTACCATGAGAATTTCTGACCTGATTTGCTTTGTAGTCAGCAAAAATAGTGCATGAGCCGCGAGTAAATTCAGAGCTATTCCTCTCTAAAAGTATCAATATTTGTTTGAATCTACGAATTACTTAATATTTTTTGTTGCTCTGAACTCTAGGTTTCAACATCTTGCAGTTAGGTTCTAGAGGTGTAAACCTTTTCTCGTTTAATATCATTAAAAACGGTTCTTACGATGCAAATTTTCTCAGCGAGAAACTTGAATAATTTGGTGTGACAGCTTTTGTAATTTAAGTATTTCATTGCAATTTCTTGCAGCTGCAATTTTTTTTTCGGAATGCAAAACCTAGCTTTTTCCTAGCCGGAATGAACTAATAAGCAATCCAAATATTGGCACTTTTACTGGGCGTCACTTTTCTTGAATATTATCTCCATTTTTGTGAATAAAATCATGATAGCCGATGCAATTAACTTATGCTGTCAAAAATGCACGTTTCAATCCTGCGAACATATGCAGAGAGAACAGACCTGTAGTGTTGTTATGCTGAAATCACCGAGATTGGTATGGCAAAATGACTATCAGTACGACGGTTCGACTATAAATCTCAGACTCCAAAAATGCGAATACGATTTTAGGCACGTTGCTTGCTGCCTACCAAAAATTTTCAGACTTCAATCCAAATATATATTTACGAAAAGCTTGTTTACGGAAAATATCATGTTTGCACTGGCAAGGTTTTGAGAATACTTTTTTTTACAATTCACTATGAAGTTGCCATCTGTATCTGAAGATTAAAATGCGGTTGCTCAGGGTACGTGAATATCAAAAACATTTTACGGCCGTACACTGCCATTGATTGTATCGTAAATTCGGTATCATAATTATTGTTCTGACCATTTGAAAACATTTATTTGATTTTCACGCAAAATCAACTACCCCAAATAATCATCGGACTACGTTGAGTGATATATCGTATTAAAGCCCTTCTAGTCGTGGTTCGAACGGCATGATTGAGTTTTTCCACTTATGAGAAAAACCGGTATGAATTTTTGAACTTCGAGCGAGTAAAGCAAGCGAGCAGGCTTTCTGGATGGAACCCTCTCAGTGGGAAATCCACGTCTCCCCGCACAGCAGATCCGGGACAGACCCAAGTGCCATCCACCCCACCACAGGAGCTGTCAAGAAGCCGTAGCATTCTTAACTACGCCGCACTTATCTGGCCACCCAGTTTAAGTGATACTAAATGGAACGAGCTGCAAACAAAACAAAATAGGGCATAAAGAACCATTACTGGGTGTGTAATGATGTCACCGATTGATGATTTATACACCCAAGACAAATTTTACCTGTTGGAACGCACAGCGAAATGATAGCGAAACAACTCTTCTTGGGATGTCATCTGCCGTACAGACTTGACAACCACCTCATCAATTCCGTACCGTGCGAGCGCATAATTAAACCAACCTTGCAACACTAACATCTCTTTCACATTTCCCGTTTTTTGAACCAAAACGGTGATGTGACCACCAAACAGTATCGTAGTGGAATCAAAACAATCCATGCCAATACAGTTAATTTTTTTAATCTAAGATGAACAAAACAAGTTATTAGGAGAAGAGCCGCCAAAACTAAGCAACCAAGAAAATCAGCTGCAACGGATAAGCAGACTTTCGGAGCTCGGTAGCGGCTGCTCTCTCCTGCTTAATAATTACAATTCAAGAATCAATTGGAAAATGAAAAATGAATGCTCAGAATGCAAACAAGCCCTTATGACAGCTAGCACATGTCTAAATGTCCCAGCATGCCCACAGACCTAACAATAGGAAATCTGTGGAATGAATCTTGTAAGATAGCCCAATTTCTAAACCGCCCTTTAAAAGGAGAGTGGGAAAGCTGAATCACTTGACAATAAACAGCACAATTAGCCGACGCAGATGCTCACTGCACAACAGCATACATCAGCCCGAAGATTGTCACTTTAAACAGGGAAAGACACTAAAAGACGCCTCGTCTCTGAAACGGGGTTTTGAGTAGTCGCCGCTCGTATCTTTTACTTCATTACCATCAATGGAGATGAAGCACTTGTCGTTTTTTTATCATCAGCCCTAATATCCCCCGAGGACCCACAGAACTGGAGAATTGCACTATGTTTACCTAGCAAAGACTGGAGAATTTTCCAAACAATCTTATCTTGCAGATAAGTATTGAGACGAGACGAAAATAAGCAACTAAGAACACCGAGAACTAAACCAAGCACGAACAACCATTCGAAACAGCCACCAATGCGTGATTAAATCAACAACAACAGCAGGCTTACAATAGCTTATCTTACAAATGCTGAATTTAAGCCGGGAAAGCTAGTTTTAATCGAGTGAAGCTAGTTGTTTTTGAGTATTTAAGCGCCTTCTTGCGATTGATTTTTTTTGTTTTTCTAGTCATTTTTTTTTAGAAAAATTGTTTTCCAAATTGCTCATTTTTCTATGTTTGTCAAATATTCATAAGCTCCATTTTTTTTCGTTCAGATCGCTTCATCACATCACGAAGAAAAATGACACAATTTTGAAAATACTTGGGTCGGAACATTCTGTGCCTTTTGCACAGTAACCGGCTATATTTGTATAAGAGTAATGGACGTAGTGAGTACTCTTATATAGGTCTTGCTGATTTTTTATGTTTTTTTTTCTTGAGATAGTCTTAAAATTTGTTCACGATCAATTTTGATTTGTCGCGGTTTGACTAGTGATTTCTTTTTAAGTTCAGTGCATTTCTATTGTTAAAAGGAAGGCACACTCGATTAGTGAACAGCAAAATTGGAAAGGTAACGAAAAACGTGATCGGCTTCTAATTTCGAAAATGGAAACTAATTATCAGATTTCGCAGTGAAACAAAGTTTTACCTATTGATCCAGTTTTCTCGAACTGGTTCAATTTTATTTAAAAAGTGTCCATCATAAATTATACTACAAATTCAAAGATCTTTAAGGCCATCTATTTTTCTCTTCGAAATTCAGAAGTTGAAGTTTTTTTTGAAAAAAGTCTGTTTTTTATTTAGTTTCCTTGCGTTCATTTCTCTTTTCCAATTGTCAATTGGCTCTGTTAGTATTATAGTATAAGCTGGCTCTGATTGTTTGCTCTCGATTATTGTGTGCTTTGTCCAAGTTCCGAGTAAATTTTGCCCAAAATTCCCGTTGAAAAGTCTTTTTTGGGATCAAAATCCTGATTTGCATTTACTTTCTCTCAGAATTCATAATGATGTTGTATAAAAAGCTGAAATTATTAAAAAAGTTTTTTTTTGAATAATTTAATTGATTTTTTGGTCGGCCATTTGGATTTCGTTTCAGTGTTTTACTTGCCGGATTTTATTACGCTAGCTTATCAAGCATTATCAAATTGGAACTTATTTTTTTCTCATTTAAACAACTTGTCCATAGGAATCACTGAAGAATTTTCAAATCTCCACTCAACCAATCCATATTTGAGCATGTCTGTATTTTAGAAAACCTGTTCTGTCAAAATGAGTTTTTTTTTTGTGTGAGTTGTAAGTTTTGATTTGGTATAATTTTGATAAACGAAGCAAGTTAGTTCAGCGTGTGATTTGAGGAGGACTGAATTTTTAAAGATTAAAAAAATTTTTGAAACAACTTTGTTTTTGGCTTAACGTGCGTCTGCTCAATTTATTTCGGATTTATTTTTGCGTGCTGAACATTATCAAAAGTGTAAATTTTCTAATTTTTTTTTCTGCTGGCTAGTTTGTCATTCTAGGTTTGTATTGTATTGCAAGAGGATAATATAATACAGATTGTATAATACAAAAGTTTGTATTGTATTCGGTTCTTTGTTACAATAAGCTTTTCAAAAGTTTTGTTTGCTTTCTTCAGTTCAATTTTGAGCAGCTTAGTTATAATGTTCGTACAGTTGCGTCAGCTTGGTGAATTATTAAGAACTTTTTTTCTAATCTAACTAGCAAATAAAAGTGTTCAATACCTTTGCGTCAGCTTGGTATAGTATTAAGAACTTTTTTTCTACTCTAACTAGCAAATAAAAGTGTTCAATGCACTTGCGAAGCAATGTGTAGTAGTACGAACTTTCTTTTCAAACCTAAGTCGCAAATAAAACTGCTACTTTTGGCGGTACTTTTGAATCGGTAGTCTGCGGTAGCAGTATAGTATCATATGGCTTTGACATTTCATTAATAAAAAGTTAACACAGCTGATGCATTTTTAATTCATCAAATGAACCGAAAAAAGTTATTTGTTTCAAACAGCAGTACAATGATAAAAAGCTCGATTTCAGAAATTTTCCAGCTCAATTGGCTTTATGCTTTTCAATTTATTACATGCAAAATAGTGTCTCTTTGTGTTTGGTGCTACTTTTGCTGAATCGAATTGACAATTTATTAGCATATGTAGCTGCGTTATTGATAGATGTTAAGCATCCGTGGCTGAGTGGTTAGTGCGTGAGACTCAAAATTGCTTGGGCGCAGATTCGTAAGCGACTCGTTAACGAGTTTTTGCTAATTCGAGGCTCACATCTACTTTTTCTTATTTCACTTGATTGAGCGAATTTTTGGTCGTGTTCTCGCAAGTGTTTCCGAAGAGCAGCTTCGCCTGTGTTAAAAGTGTTCACTTGTTTGGAATTTTTACTGTTGCATTGGAAATTGCATAGCATCTGTTCTCTGCTTTATTTGTGCCTAGTGTTTAATCTTCTATCTTTTTATGTTTAAGCTTCCGTGGCTGTGTGGTTAGTGTGTGTCTCTTGATCTCAAGGTTGCAGTTTCGAATCTCAGCCGTAGCCGAATTTTTGCTAATTAGAGCTTTTTCTACTTTTCTCATTGCACTTTATAAAACAGCTTTTTGTCGTATTCTCGCTAGTGCTTGCGAAGCGAAGCTTCGCCTCTGTGTCAATTTTTGTTTTGAATATACGGCAAAATGGTTTTTTTTAAACATGCTAGTTTTTTTCAGCTGCGTGCCTCCTGTTTAAAAGTTAGTTTTTCGAGTTTACTAAGTGTGTGCAAGTTCATTAGCTAGTAGATGACTTGGCTTAAATTTTTGTTAATTTCAGTACGCTCAACAAGCCCAAAAAAGTACAGCCTGAGTGAAGTGGAAGGTGTGATCGACTGTCGGGGAATCGCTGATATGTAAGTTGAGCTATGATTAAAACTACAATTTCGCCTGTTTTGTTTGGTAATTTGTTTTCCATTTTTTAGCGCTATTAGGCATCTGAATGCCTCTGCTGAGCATCTTAATGTCAAGGACAAATTTAGAATACAAATATTTGAGCATACATCGCCCAGTTCAAATCAAGCGGTAATTTTTAAATAATTAACACAATTTTTATCTAGTTTGATAAAGGAGTTGAAACAAGAAACAATTTTAGAGCAAACAACTCGGACAAAAAGATTTCTCGGCTATAATCATTGACAATCAATCAAACAACAATTCCTCGAAGCTGCAGAGAAAAAGTGACGCTTTTTCTGAATCAGGAAATTTCAACGACTCATTGCTGCAACCTGTTCTTAATGAAGGTAATAATGTTTCTTTTTCGGAAAGACTGATTAACCTGGGGGTTATTATGGATATTGCCATTGCGTGCAAATCTATTCGTGCGTTGAGAAACATTCATTAGAAATGGACAATTTTACCTTCACTGATTGTTTGTCATTCGGAGTCTCCTCATATTTAAGCTTCAACGTATTATTTTTGCATTGAGTTCAGTATTTATTCCAAAGTTTGAAATTAGCAAATCAATAGTGGCATACTGACAGGGTTCCGCCAGGGGTTGCAAATTTGGCCTCCAATTATGAATACTTAAATCCTTTTAGTTTACAAGATCGACGATTTTAGTGATTTTTCCAAAACATTTGAGAAAACTTAAATTTAAAAACTTTAACAAAATTTGAAATTCCCGACCCTGTAGTTCGGTACTGTGAGTGCATCTTCAGCTCTCGCTCATCTCTCTTCAGGTCTCTTTCATCTTCAACTTGGCAAGCGGGAGATCTAAGGTTGTTATACAGAATAGGTACCCGCTCTGGCGTGTGTGATATAAAGATTAAGGGGGAGTGTGATATAAAGATTAAGGGGGAGGGCGTAGGTATCTGGTTTAACGTGCTCAATTACAGACTGATTTTTAGCCGAATATCAGTTTTCTTGCTTAGCATGAAAAGCCCGAAAGTTAAGCCTACATACGATTTTTTTTGGTTTTAAAGGCCGTGTGTCTTTGCAGCTTCCGGATACCTTTGTTAGTTTAATAATTTTTGGATGGTCAGAAATAGATATATTTTTTTCTTTTTCTAACGGACGTAGTTTTACCGAGTAAATGAGTTTTTTATCCAATTTAATGGCATTTTACGGCTTTTTGAAATCTCCAAACTAACGCGCGGTACTCGTTTAGAAGTATGGTACCGCGGTGTTTGATTAGTGTGATTCAAAAAGCTCGTTTAGAAGTGTGATCCTGCTAAATCTTATGAAATCTACTTGAAATACTTCCAGTGGATGAAAACAGAAGAAAAATTTGAGAGCAATTCTTAGTTATATTTACTACTATAAATACAGCCAATACTAAGGATTATAACACAAACTATTATTGTTGCTCCGACTTTCGTAACGAAAGTAACGGAATATTTGTGCTCGGAGTGGTTTTTTTCTTCAGACAAATTTCGAATTTTTAGCGAGCCATTTTTGAAAGATTTTTTTTATATCATTCAAAAAGTATTGTTGCCCTGAACGTAAATTTGGAAAGATATTTCACCTGTGATCATTTTTCGGAAAGTTATGGGGGGTTTAAAAATTGCCAATTTGGGACAATTAACGCTCGATATAACGCGAAGATTTAATTCGTCATAGAAATTGTTCCAAATTGTTTGAAGGAAGCTTATTTGCCCTAATCGATTTGTTACTAGGAGCGAAATTTATCACTTTGTAATTAATATGGCGCGTGGGGGGATGGTTTTTGCAAAAAATCTCAAATTAAACAAAAAAATTCATTTTATTTTTATTACAATTAGTTTTTTCATGTTATTACTGGTCCATAGACTGCTCTATAAATTGAGGCATGTTAGTTGATAAGTTTCTTTTTTTTTTCAATTTGACTGGTACTGCTAATGCGTCATAATTGGCGTGCGCCGCTTAGAAATTTTGTAGACTCAAAGTTTTACTCATTTCAGTTTTTCCCAGTAGCGTTATCGGTCATATTTTTGCTTGTGTATGCGAAGTGCAACTTCGCCTCTGTGTTTTAATGTTGCTATGGCAGAAGTAGAACTTCGTCAAATTAAGAATAAATTGAGAACAATAAGGAAAAAATAAGAATAGCATGAGGTCAATGAAAAAATTGTGTGACTGAAAGTTTCACAAAAACTAGGAAACTTCCTTAAAATTTTGTTTCCTATTTATTTATATGGTCCCACTGTTAGTCCCACAAACAACTCGGACAAAAAGATTTCTCGGCTATAATCATTGACAATCAATCAAACAACAATTCCTCGAAGCTGCAGAGAAAAAGTGACGCTTTTTCTGAATCAGGAAATTTCAACGACTCATTGCTGCAACCTGTTCTTAATGAAGGTAATAATGTTTCTTTTTCGGAAAGACTGATTAACCTGGGGGTTATTATGGATATTGCCATTGCGTGCAAATCTATTCGTGCGTTGAGAAACATTCATTAGAAATGGACAATTTTACCTTCACTGATTGTTTGTCATTCGGAGTCTCCTCATATTTAAGCTTCAACGTATTATTTTTGCATTGAGTTCAGTATTTATTCCAAAGTTTGAAATTAGCAAATCAATAGTGGCATACTGACAGGGTTCAGCCATTTTTGAAAGATTTTTTTTATATCATTCAAAAAGTATTGTTGCCCTGAACGTAAATTTGGAAAGATATTTCACCTGTGATCATTTTTCGGAAAGTTATGGGGGGTTTAAAAATTGCCAATTTGGGACAATTAACGCTCGATATAACGCGAAGATTTAATTCGTCATAGAAATTGTTCCAAATTGTTTGAAGGAAGCTTATTTGCCCTAATCGATTTGTTACTAGGAGCGAAATTTATCACTTTGTAATTAATATGGCGCGTGGGGGGATGGTTTTTGCAAAAAATCTCAAATTAAACAAAAATTCATTTTATTTTTATTACAATTAGTTTTTTCATGTTATTACTGGTCCATAGACTGCTCTATAAATTGAGGCATGTTAGTTGATAAGTTTCTTTTTTTTTCAATTTGACTGGTACTGCTAATGCGTCATAATTGGCGTGCGCCGCTTAGAAATTTTGTAGACTCAAAGTTTTACTCATTTCAGTTTTTCCCAGTAGCGTTATCGGTCATATTTTCGCTTGTGTATGCGAAGTGCAACTTCGCCTCTGTGTTTTAATGTTGCTATGGCAGAAGTAGAACTTCGTCAAATTAAGAATAAATTGAGAACAATAAGGAAAAAATAAGAATAGCATGAGGTCAATGAAAAAATTGTGTGACTGAAAGTTTCACAAAAACTAGGAAACTTCCTTAAAATTTTGTTTCCTATTTATTTATATGGTCCCACTGTTAGTTTTTCGGGACCATGCTTATAAAAGAGTACAAACGGGCATGAAATAATAGCCCAATTTTTTAAAGAATAATAAGCATTGTCGTTCTTTAAAGTACCGCTTCGCTGAGTGTTTCTTTGTTATCTTAATTATACTAATGATGATATATGAGCTGCGCGAACAAAGCTAGCCTTGGTGTTTTTTAAGTCATTAGAGCGTCGAAGTTTCAAGATCAGTTGAAGATCTTTTGATTTAATTGTTTTTGTTCTTTATGTGTGTGGTTATTTAGAGCTTGATCGAACTGATTTCCAATCCTTGCCCGGTAACAGAGTGCTATCCAGACATGCATCAGACCAAACCGGAAATGTCTTCACTTCAAACCAGATCCAAGTCGTTCAAAAATCAGGAAGCTGCGAATTACCTCAATCGCAGACGAGTCCGCGACTTCAAAATCTAAGTGTAAATAACAACAAGACACCGAACACGTGGTGTGTTGTTTTGACATTTGTCTGTCTTTTTGCCTTGCTTCTGCCTACTGCCGTAACTGAAGATCAGTTAGCCAATAAATGCACATCATCAAATCCAGAGGAAGGCTCAAATTTCCAGATGTTTTCAACGGGACAAACTTCTTCAGTTGGGTTCATGCACATGATAGTTCCTTCGTTTTTTCATATTTCTGTCAACCAGAAACTGATTGCTGCATTTACTCTTGGTCTTCTTACAATGGCGATGTTGCAGAATGCATAGATTAAAATCTATCTGATTGAACTGAATGAAATTACATAACTGTATGGAATTTATTCTTTACTTGTTTCAAATGTGCAGTATCTTCAATCGAAAATAAATCAGAGGATGGCATTGTTAGATAGTCTAGAATTTAAATTATATTGACCATAAGAAAAAAAATAGGCTGCAGAGTTCTTCAGAATGTTTTGAACTGTCGAGAGTCTAACTGACTTAAGCTTCTATCAAGTATTTGTTGCTATCTCTCTGAATAATTATTGTTGATAGTTAGTTTAGTAATTTCAAAAAGTAATTGATATGTATGTTACGCAGTTTTATCTCATTTTGTCTTTGATTTAAGCTAGCTAGCTTTTTAAAATTAGTTTGTACAAATTTCTCGAATTTACTTCATTTTTTCCTGATGTTTTCCGCAGTGTAATTGATTACAATTTCAATTAGCAAGGTTATCGCAACCGTGTCCTAGACTTTCGCCATTGAAATTTTTTTGCAGAATTTATTAATTTACTTAATTGAAAATTTGGGTTATGGTGCGATAATATATATTCTTATAATTGGCCTTTTTTCTTATATGATTCCCTCGCGCCTGTGTTTTGAGTTTGTTGAATGACCTTTCATAATTTCGAAGTGTGATAGAGAACTGAAATATATGAGTTTTTTTTGAAAAACAGTAAACCTTGTGGTTTTTCACAAAGTGTTTTTTCAAGTTTCATATTCTGTGGCATATATTTTTTCCAAGTTGTTGTTTTTGGGTATAAAGATCGCTCGTTGATATATAATTTAAGCAAGAATATCATCCAATGAAATTTAACAGAAATTAGATTTATAAAATATCGAAGGATTTCCTGCTATTTTTTGAGAAAAGTTTCTGAGTTTTTAAAACTGTTCTGGTACTTATCCATGATATTGTCTAAGTTGTGAAAAATATTTGAATTCCTATAATTGTTCGTTTCTTGAAAATCTGCCTTGAAATAAATTTTCAATTGTTACATTAGCGATGGTAAGTTTCACTTCGCCTCTACGATTAATTAACGAGTTCAGGTCATCGCGGGAGCAATTTACTTCTGCAAAGAACAGGTTAGGTTTTTCCCATGTACTTTTTAAAATATTCATCGGTTTGCGACATACATTTATTCGTATATTGATTGTAATTATTGGGCTCCACTTTTCGAACACTTTCGTCGCTTTGGATCCTTTACTTCGTCAAAGAAATAAATTCTGTTGGTATTTGAATTTTATGGCCATCATTACTGAATTGTATTTTCAACTGTTCATTATCAGTCAAGAAAACGTCAAAAATGTAACATGCTCAAATACTACAATAAGCAAACGTGATATAAATTATATCTTACATGAAAAAAGCATGTTTTATTTTCAAAATCTGCTTTGAACGTAACTTGAAGAAAGCAAGTTAATTTTTACTGTATCTACTTCAATGTGAACTGATTGTTTAAACTAAGTAGCTTTATCTTTGATAGACCTGTATTAAGTTCGCTTGAAAATGGCACTCGACCGGAACGAGTCAAAGAAACTTCGATTGGAAGAAAATATCCCTGAGCCCATTTCTCCTATCGTATCTTACGGATCTGTCGTTCTTTTTAGCTTGCTTCTCATTTTAGCAGGAATGAATATTTCCAGCGTCGCGCCATTTTTCCCGACAGAAGCTCGCGAAAGAAATATTTCTGTACCGACAACTGGAATTATTGTCGCAAGTCTTCAAATATCACAAGGATTTTTCGGCTTTCTGTTTTTGTTCACAGTGTCCGACAAGCAAAAAATTTGGTTCGCATATGTCGGGTTTGTACTGTCGGGGTTAATGTGTGTTATTTTTAGTTTGTCTTACCATTTCAACTCCAAACATTTGTTTGTTTTGTGGTGTTCTGTGACGCGTATTCTAATTGGGATGGGAGGTGCATGTAAATGGGCTACAAGTGCACCTATTCTCATACCTCTTTTCCCAAATAAAGCCGGAATCATTTTTAGCACACTCGAGGTATCCGCTAATTTTGGACTCATGATTGGACCCCCTCTTAGCAGCTGGCTTTACTCGCTAGGGGGCTACAAGTTTCCTTTCATTGTCATGGGAGCTACTGAATTATTCGTCGGTTTTCTATGCTTTGTAGCAACTCGGTCGCTACAGAATCGACTGCCTAGGCAATCTTCTCAGCAGAGACAAGAAACGGAGTTCAGTCTGAAACCAGCATTGCGGTTTTTATCCCTGCCAGGCGTGTGGGCGATCACGCTTCCTTTTATGGTTGTTTTGGCCCAGTTGGGATTTTTGTCAGTGACGTTGGCGCCTCATTTGCTCGACACTTTTAACATCGATGGAACTAAATCGGGAACAATTTTTCTAATTCACGCGAGTATGTCGACCTTGACTTGTTTTTTATATGGCTACTTACTTGACAAGGGATATGCGAAAATAACGTTTTTCATCTGTCTAGCTCTGACGTCCCTGGGATATTTCGTTTTGGCGTTGCCCTTCGTCGGATTTGATCACCCCAAGTTAACATTATACGCAGGTATGTTGATGGATCTCATTCAATACATTATCCCCCTATGGTACCTTTAAAGAATAGCCACCCTCTTTTGAAGGTTTAATTCAGCGGTTAAGCTCATTGGAAGATTTTACTTAGTAACGAATTTCCCACTGCCGTGATGAGGATGTAGGGTATATAAGCTTATTTCCAATTTTTTGTTAATCAAATTTTCCTCATGGCAAAATCTCGAGTTAAATTTGTCGGTGTCCTGATTTCAAAAGCGAAGAGTCACGGTGGTTGATGATAGTTTTTGGTTAAGTTTTGATTACTCACTACTTGTTACACCGAAGACTTTAGTCAAGGTGTTATGGTATCGTGTAACGGGGTTTTTTTTTTAATGTTGTCTGTTGTCAAGTGTCGACAAATAACGTCCACAGTTATCAATTATCATGTGGGCTGGACTATATCGCGCTATGTCACGTGATTGCGTATGTTTGTTTCTTTATTTGTTCATCTTTATTTATTTAATTATCTGTTCTTCTATTTATTTAATTATGTTTAGTTTGCTTATATTTTTTTATAATTTATGTATGTACATATTTATTTTTGTTTATTTTTATCACGTGTTTTGTTTATTTATTTAATTATTCTTTCTTTCATTTAGTTTTGCTTTTATTATTTCTGCGTGTGTATTTATTTAATTTATTTATTTTCATTTATTTATATTATGGGTCTGTTTGTTTGGTTATTTGTTCATATATATTTTTTCATGTCTATTTAATTATTTGTACATTTCACTTTTGCTTTTATTTATTTATTTATTTATTTATTTATGTATTTATTTATGTATTTATTTATTTATTTATGTATTGATTTATTTTTTTATTGCTTATTTATTTATCAGGTGTGTTTTGTTTATTTGTTGATATTTATTTCTATATTTATTTAATTATTCTTTCTTTCATTTAGTTTTGCTTTTATTATTTATGTATGTGTATTTATTTCATTTATTTATTTTCATTTATTCATATTATGGGTCTGTTTGTTTGGTTATTTGTTCATATATATTTTTTCATGTCTATTTAATTATTTGTACATTTCACTTTTGCTTTTATTTATTTATTTATGTATTTATTTATGTATTTATTTATGTATTTATTTATTTATTTATGTATTGATTTATTTTTTTATTGCTTATTTATTTATCAGGTGTGTTTTGTTTATTTGTTGATATTTATTTCTATATTTATTTAATTATTCTTTCTTTCATTTAGTTTTGCTTTTATTATTTATGTATGTGTATTTATTTAATTCATTTACTTTCATTTATTTATATTATGGGTCTGTTTGTTTGGTTAGTTGTTCATGAGATATATACTTTTTCATGTTAATTTAATTATTTGTACATTTCAGTTTTGCGTTTATTTATTTAATTATTTATTTATTTATTTATGTATGTATTTATTTATTTATGTATTGATTTATTTTTATATTGTTTATTTATTTATCAGGTGTGTTTTGTTTATTCGTTGATATTTATTGCTATATTTATTTAATTATTTTCTTTCATTTAGTTTTGCTTTTATTTATTATTCATGTATGTATTTATTTATTCATTTATTTATTTATGTTTATTTATTTTTGGTTTGTTCGTTCATTTGTTGGTTTGATCGTTCAGTTTTTCTATTTCAACTGCTGTGTATACTTGTATTAGGTACACTGTAGTTTCAATCAACTGATCTGTGTATACTTGTATTAGGTACACAGTTTCTTTAGTTTAACTGATCTGTGTATACTTGTAATAGGTACACTGTAGTTTCAATTAACTGGTCTGTGTATACTTGTATTAGGTACACAGTTTTTCTATTTCAGCTGCTGTGTATACTTGTATTAGGTAAACTGTAGTTTCAATCAACTGGTCACAGTTTTTCTATTTCAGCTGCTGTGTATACTTGTATTAGGTACACTGTAGTTTCAATCAACTGGTCTGTGTATACTTGTATTAGGTACACTGTAGTTTCAATCAACTGCTGGTCTGTGTATACTTGTATTAGGTACACAATTTATTTAGTTCAATTGATCTGTGTATACTTGTATTAGGTACACTGTAGTTTCAATCAACTGGTCTGTGTATACTTGCATTAGGTACACAGTTTTTCTATTTCAACTGCTGTGTATACTTGTATTAGGTACACTGTAGTTTCATTCAACTGATCTGTGTATACTTGTATTAGATACACAGTTTTTCTATTTCAACTGCTGTGTATACTTGTATTAGGTACACTGTAGTTTCAATCAACTGGTCTGTGTATACTTGTATTAGGTACACAATTTCTTTAGTTTAACTAATCTGTGTATATATTTATTTTTAACTCGTGCTCTGCGATGATGACAACAACGGAAATGCATAACTGGTTACGAATTTTGGCTCACTATCTATAACTTTCATGACTGTTGATGTAACATTATCTTTACAAGACATATTTATTTGTGATATTCCCTTGTTTCAAAATGCATTTGCCAACAATATATCGTAAGAGAACAAAAGTGAATCATTCTTCTGGAAACATCTATAATTTACAAGGGAACATTCCAACTGCGCATATGAAGGTTCATGAAGCTGTTGTTGTAATCTGATTGTTATTAATGTTTTACGTGCGTTCAATACTGACTATTGAGAAATATTCGCCATTTTTTGTTATTATAATGTTGGCAAACCATTCTGTCAAAGCCAAGTACGTGTTAAGCGCCCTTTTTTATTAATTTTTAACAAGACTGATTATTTTATAAACGCTGACAAATTTTTAATTACTGTAATATTGTTGCATTTATTTCTGAGCGAATGTTCGTTATCATAGCCCACGTCTGAGCAGAGCGATGTTATTATTTATATTGGTTTTCACAAATATATTTTTGCAATGTAGTTTTTTCCGTAGTTCAAATTTATTGTAATGGTTTCTATAACACAATGATGGTGATATAATTTTTTTTTCAGAAATGACGTCCACTGTTTTGTTTGGCGATTCTATGTTTAAAGGATTTAACGAATACCTTATCAGACTTTCCGATACGTCGGTTATAGTGAAATCTGGACTGAAAGTCAGTACCATCAATGACACTCATGTCGAAGAGATAAAAGCCTTGAAACCAGCTCGCGTTATTCTTGCTGTTGGTGCAAACGACATGTGTCCCCGCCAACAAGATATTGTGTTACAACCAAGCATTGCCCATACCGATGCTTCTCTCGCGAGCTTGGCAAAGGCCACACTTGCTATGTTGATTATGTCACTTGCTTCTCCTCTTCGCGATGCTGGCTTTGAAGTCCTGCTCCTTTGGTAACATTTTCATAAAATGACTAATTCAGTAATAATAATAATGTACATTGTTCATCAGGTATCGGTTTTGCTGTTTTTTTAATGAAGTTTAGAGAAAAAATAAACTACATTGTATTTTTAGTCCAATTGTTCGCAAGGACTTTTACCGTGAAATCCGCGCGTTGGATACAGCCATCAAGTCTTCAGATTGGTCATTTATTCCCGTTGGACTATTGCGCTACACACATTTATCTACCGATGGTGTTCATTTGTCGCAAATGGGCTGCCTGAATTTGGCGAAATTAATTTGTGAGAGAGTATCCTTAACTCTTTTGACATCTGCCGTGGTAAATACTTTTTGTCTATTCTATTTTTTTTTCTGTTGTATTCCACTGAGCACTTAAATGTCATAATTTTATTTTTTGCAGCCGTTTACTATCAGCTCATCTTCAGTGTTTGGCGTCTCTCAATTTTCCCTTGACGTTTGCAATAAATCTGTTTTGAGCATAGCTGATTCCCTCTTTGCAGAGCTTTACAAATCATACAAACAGGAATCTTGGACACATGTCAACGGGCGCTCTGTCAAGTGGATTTCAGAGGTTCCATACTCATATGGAAGCGTTCGCCACCCGCCCAACAACTCTTGGTCACCACAGTTGTTGTTGTTAAAGACCTTGTTGGAGAAAGAACTCAAAGTTTCCTTCAACAGTGTCCTCATCAACATTTATTGTTCCCTCGAAGAGGTAATATCACAAAATACCGTCATAACAATTAGATAACATAGAAAATGTACTTTGCCTATCAGTATTTTTAGGGAGTTGGATTTCACGCTGACAACGAACGTGGTATTCCTGATTATCCAACCATTGCCAGCGTATCCCTTGGAGCCACCCGACGCTTTGCAATGAAAAGAAACGGGACCACGCGCTCTGAAGTTTCTGTTTTGTTGCCACATGGTAGCGTTTTTACCATGCTCGGAGCTTGCCAGAAAGACTGGAAGCACAGCATCTTGAGAGGATCCACTGCACCCGATGGATCGTTTGAGAAATGGAACGGCGTCCGTTTAAATTTGACGTTCCGTAATCAGTTTGACGCTGAACGTTGAAGTTTTATGTCATTTTTATTACTTGCCGGTTTTTGAAGGTTGAATTTGAACTTGATTTCGTGGAATACTTAACTGATATCTTTACCTGATTGAAGTTTTGTTCATGAATACCAACATTGGTACATTTTTCAGATCTGTGTCATGTCTTTGCAAGTATTTTTTTGTTTTTTGGATTTGTTTTTCGGATTGTTTTACTGCTACATACTGTCAATTCTGAGACTGCTTCACAATTTCTCAATATAATAAGACTAATAGCTTTTTTTCATTTTAGCTCTTTCTTGTAAGTATATGTGTAAGTACGATTTTTAGTTATTCCGGAGACCCATATGAGTCTACATGCCAATTTATACGATTGGCCGATTGAAACGACAGGAGGCGTTTTGCTACACATACAAACACAATCTTTTGTATTTTATTATAGCTATAGAAATTGATCTACAATGCGTAAGTACGACATTTAGTTCTACGATTGTTATTTCAGGTCCTTTGTCAATATTTCAGGCTCTTTGTCAATATAGCAAAATTTTGGTGTATATATGTGTTAGTAAGATTTTTAGTTCTACAACGTTTATTCAGGCTCTTTGTCGATATAGCAAAATATTGGTGTATACATGTGTTAGTACGATTTTAGCTCTAGAATTGTTATTTCAGGCTCTTCGTCAATATAGCAATATTTTAGCGTATACATGTGTTAGTACCATTTTTAGTTCTCGAACTGTTATTTTATGATCTATGTCAATATATCAAAATTTTAGTGTATACATGTGTTATTACGATTTTTAGTTCTCGAACTGTTATTTCATGATCTTTGTCAATATATCAAAATTTTATTGTATACATGTGTTAGTACCATTTTTAGTTCTCGAACTGTTATTCCATGATCTTTGTCAATATAGCAAAATTTTGGTGTATACATGTGTTAGTACGATTTTTAGCTCTAGAACTGTTATTCCATGATCTTTGTCAATATAGCAAAAATTTGACGTATACATGTGTTAGTACGATTTTTAGCTCTCGAACTGTTATTTCATGATCTTTGCCAATATAGCAAAATTTTGGTGTATACATGTGTTCGTACGATTTTTAGCTCACGAACTGTTATTTCAGGCTCTTTGTCAATATAGTAAAATTTTGGTGTATACATGTGTTAGTACGATTTTTAGTTCTAGAAGTGTTATTTTATGATCTTCGTTGATATATCAAAAATTTAACCTATACATGTGTTAGTACGATTTTTAGTTCTAGAACTGTTATTTCAGGCTCTTTCTCGATATAGCAAAATTTTGGTGTATACATGTATTAGTACGATTTTTTGTTCTAGAACTGTTATTCTTCAATTATTAGTTGTTCAAGTTGTTTGGTTTTTGCTTCAGTTTCTATGCCTTCGGTGTATTGCGCGTAGCGCCTATGTTTTAGAAGTTGGAAAGTTGAGATTTTCATTATTTTGTTTCTTTTTCAACTTCTTATGTTCGTGTTGTAGAGCAAATGGTGAGAAGCTTCGCTTCGCCCCTGTGTAATTTATAACCTAACTTTTTTTTTGAAAAAAAGTTATAACAGGGTTGTGTGAAAGTCAGAGAAGATTTTCAACTTCTAATTTCGAAAGTTGAATTTTAATATCAGGCTTCTTAGCGAAATAATAGTTTTATTTATCGATTTGGTTTTCTCAATTTTGGTTCGGTTTATCAGAAAATTGTCGATCATAAATTAATCTAGAATTTTCAAGAGCTTTAAGGCCATATTTTTTCTTAGAAGTTCGAAAGTTGAGTTTTTCATTATTTTGCTTTTTTCATTTGCGTTCACTCATTCGTTTCTGGTTGTCTGTTGGCTATGTTATTTTGCTTATTCATTACCTCTTTAAATCAAATTTTTGTATTGGACTTTCAAATAATTAGAGATAAAAAATATCATTCTCAAACAAAGGCGGATTTAGGGGGCCCTCAGGGGTTCGACCCCCTCACTTATCAAAAGGTCCCCACTGTATAATTATTTTATGACATCAATTTTCGTCGACAAACCCAAAGTTTTTGGCTTCTTGAAATTGTGCTCGTTTTTCGGAAATTTTGTGACTTTTGGAAACTCTTTGGTCGACCCAATATTTTTCGCCTTAGTTTCCGCTCGGACATTATTTCTCAATATTTGTTAAGGTCATTTATGAATACCATATGAAACGAAATTTTTAATTTTATGGCAAATGTTGCGAAACTCCACTTCAGCAAAGTAAGACGCGGAGCTTTTAGCCTAACATGAAGGGTATTTTTTAAGAGTTCCCAGCTCATAGTGCTAGTTTTGTCAAAAGAGTACACAATGTGCTGGTTTTTATTAATATTTAAAGTTATTATGATGATAGTAGTTGCTAATCGAAACAATACTTTGAAAGTAAAGTAGTCGTTTTTAACCTTTATAGGGGTGCTAGACTTTTTTGCCGTAAATAACTTCGTTCACAGAATTCGCACGTGAAAACGTTACACATGTTTTACTTGCTTTATTGTAAATTAAAATTCAGTGAGTATTTGGCGTAGTTGTAACACCCTTGCTTGAGAGGACATATTCCTGAACAAAGCCGAAAAACATTCAAAAACTGTTGTTTTTACACTGAAAGATTAAGGCTATTTTGAACTAGCGTCTGTTTGCTCATTTTCGTTGTCTTAGTTTCCGCTGAAAGGACTTTTTTTTGAAGGTCTGCAACCTTTATTCAATATTCTGTAGCATCCTTGTTACACTGGCGAGCTTGCGAGCGACGTGTGTTAGTACGAACTATTTTTCTCTATGCTAACTAAAAAAAAGTGTTTGTTAAAAGTGTTCTTATATTCGATGATACTCTTGCTATAAAAACGATCTGTAGCATTGGAAATTTCTTAGCATCTATTCTCTGCTTTATTTCTGGCTAGTGTTTAAGATTTATTAAGCGTCCGTGGCTGAGTGGTTAGTGTGTGAGTCTCATAATCTCTAAGAGCGCAGAGCGAACCCGAGAAGTAGCCGAATTTTTACTAATTCGAGGCTTCTTTCTACTTGTTCTTATTGCATTTTATGGAGCTGCTTTTGTCGTGTTCTGTGTAAAATTTTCAATGGTACAGTTAATTGCGTATATGAATTTGTTTTGCAGTTTTTATAAGTTTTTGACACAACGATTTTTTGAATGTTATTTAAAAAAATTTTGGTTTGCCTTTTCATTTGCTTTTAATCATAATTATTCATTTTTGCATCGCAAGTGGTGCGAAGCTTCGCCTCTGTGTTTAACTGCCTTTAAGTTCATTAAAGCTTTTCAGCTATCTGATGTTTTGTTAATTTTAAACTTCTATTTGACGGGTCAGTTTCAATAGCTATATTACAAAACATTGCTAAGTATTACCAATGCGTTTAAATAATTGAACTTTATATATTTGAATTCATGGTCTCAAATGCATTTTCAAAAAGATAAGCATTAAGTGTAAAAAATCCAAGAAGATTTTTTTATATCATCCGAAAGGTTTTTTGTTCATAAATTTCCAAAGATGTTTTACTTGTGGTTTTAACAGCACTAGATAAAATTCATACGAGATTTATCTAGTGCTGTTAACGCATCAGCGGATGTTTAATCAGTCTTAGACATTGTTCCGAATTGAACAGAGGCATGCTAATCGTTCTGATAAATACGTTACTAAATGCTAACTATATGACTTTGTACTTCAAATGGCATGTGGGGGATGTTTTCCAAAGAAAAATTCAATTGTTTTAAAATTCGTCATATGAAAATGTTTCATTTTTTTTTAATAATCGCTACTCCATAAACCTTAAAAGGGATCTTTTCCCTTTCCACCCCATCTGCTAACTTCTGCAAGTAAGTTTGTTGATCATTTTGTCCAATTGTTAAAAAAAATTGCTTGCAGACTGATTAGGCCATGACAAACATATTTGGTCTTCATAATCAACCTCGTAAAACCACTCATTACACAAAAAACTGATGCTCTGGTGAAGCGGAAGAGGGAGGCGAGAGGAGGGTGAGGGGGAGGGGGATTTCAGGCGGAACATTTAGGTATTCGACCTGATACGAGCAGTCTTTCAAATTTATTAGTTATTGTAATTAAGCGTGATTGTGTATATTCCTTGTTTAGGACTATCAATTCTTGGCGTTTCCTCAAACGGCGGATACCTTCCATGTTTTTTTCTCTTCTCCGAAGTCGGGAAACGAAACAAATTTGCAGCAGAAGAAAGTTTAAGGATTTGTATTTTCACGTGGATTACTGCCTCTTATTCCATCGCCATAGTCATTGGGCAATATTTAGTGGGGGGACTATTTTTCTCCTGCTTCAATTTCTACCAGTCCAGCTTGCTACTGTCAGGAGTAACGTTTCTGCTGGCAACTGTTGCCGGAATTTATGTCGCCATTTCAGATGCAAATTACAAGGGAGAATACAAACCTCTCTGATGTTATTACACTTGCGAGAACAAGGGACTTGTAATCGGGAACTAGACTTCTTTTCCCGTAAACAACTTCTCTTACAAGTTTAGCTACACGTATTTCTTAGATTGCTCATAAATCACCTACTGCACGTATTTCTTACATTGTACAAGCCCACTTGCTCAAGATCAATTAAAACTACTCTTCAGATCATTTTAGTTAATAATTAATTTTTCAAATGTTTATTGAAAAAATGTTTTCTTTTTAGGATTTGTTGTCTGTTGGATCATTTCTGTCGGTTCATTTTCCGTTTTTTTTTCAAATGCATTTTCTATTATGTGGTATGCTTTTCACGCAGTTTTTTTTCCAATGCTTGGATTTTTTTCATTCGAACAGTTTTTTCTATAACTGAAAATTTTCTGTAGTTAGTAAATTTAGCAACTCTGATTTCAAAGATTTATTCATTTTTTTGGTTAAACGGGCTTAGCTTATGTTATATCGGTGTGTTCAACGCATATTGTGTAGGTTCAAGGGGATTTTTTAAATTCTTTTCAGGAGGGATGGACTATAAAAAAAATCGAGTATTGAAGTTTGATAGCTCTAAATTTTTGATGACTACAATGATTCTAAATGCTGATTTTTTAAGACTACAATTTATGATTCTCGATGCTTGTTAGGGCCTTTTATGAAGATCATCCGAGACAAAGGTAAGAACGTTTTTTAAGATGGTGTCTTTTTCGACTTATCTATACTATATTTAAATGCTAGTGACAGCTATCTCCCATGTTTAAGCATAATAATTTTGCATGTTTAACGAAAGAATTTTTTCATGTTTAAGCTATATCATATATTGAAATGCTTAAGAAATTTTTTCATTTAGTTTTCGGCAAGGTCGTTAATTTTTCAGTAAATTTTTTCGAGGCCAAATTAAGTCTGTCTGTCTGTCTATCTGTATACCTGCTTTTTTAAATTAATTTGGTTGTCTGTCTAGCCGTCTCCTAATTTTTTTAACTTTCTCCTGTCAAATCTATTATCTATGATATATTTAAATGCGGGCTTCACTTTCTCGCCATGATTAAGCTTTTTCAACTTATTTTTTGCATCTTTAACAAAAACAATTTTTTCACGCTTAAGCTATATCGTATTTTGCAATGGTTAAGTTTTTTTTTCAATTTTCCAGTTAAAATTCAGTTTTTATTTCATCAAGTTTGTAATTAGCAACCCAATACTTGGATGTTGTAGTTTTCGAGATATGACCTTTTTTATGATTTTTTCAAAATTTTTTCAAAAACTTAGATTTTAAAAAATTTCAAAACGTTGAAGATCTCAGTCCTGATTTTGGATTTTGTTAGGGTACTCTCAGGGGTTGCGAATCTTGCCTCTAATTATGGCTGCTCAAATCCTTGTAGTTTTCGAGATATGACGTTTTTTTTAGGATTTGAAAAAAAAATTCAGAAAACTTAGATATAAAAAAAATTCACAAATTTTGATATTCCCATCTCGGTGGTGAGGCTCTGTCAGGGTACTCCCAGGAGTTGCGATTTTCGCCTCCAAATATGACTGCTCAAATCTTTGTAGTTTTCGAGATATGACGTTTTTTATGATTTTCTCCAAAATTCTCAAAAAAAACATTAGATGTTAAAAAATTCCAAAGCTTTGAAAATCTCAATCCTGTTATTGGAATCTGTGAGGGTACTCTCATGGGGTTGCAAATCTTGGCTCTGAATATGTCTGCTCAAAATCTTGTAGTTCTCGAGATATGACGGTTTTTAAGATTTTCTCAAAATTTTTAGAGAACTTGGGTATAATTTTTTTTATGAAACTTGAAATTACCATCTCTGTAGTGAGGCTCTTTCAGGGTACTCTCAGGAGTTGTGAATTTTGCCTCTTGCAGCTTACCACATATGACTTTTTTGTGATTTAAAAAAAATTAAGAAAATTAAATAAAATTTCTTTTCAAAGTTTGAAATTCCTAACCTGTAGTTGGGGGCTGTCAGAGTAATCTCAGGAGTTGCAGATTCGGCCTCCAATTAATAATGCTCAAATCTTTTTAGTTTAAGAGATACGACGATTTTTGTGATTTTTTTTTGGAATTTTTCAGAAAACTCAAATTACAAAATAGTTCACTAAAGTGAAATTCCCAACCCTGTAGTTGTGTGCTGTCAGAGTACTTTCAAAGATTGCGACTATTGCCATCTAATAAGACTGCTCAAATCTTCGTAGTTTTCAAGATTCGAAATTTTTTCTGGTTTTCAAAACAAAATAAAATACCTATTTTTAGAAAACTTAAGGTGAAGTTTCTCAAATTTTGAATTTCCTAACGTTGTAGTTGGGTACTGTAAGAGTACTCTCAGGAGTTGTAAATCTTGCGTCCAAATGCGACTGCTCAATTGCTTTTAGCTTCCCAGAAGTGACGTTTCTTAGTTCATTTTAAATTTTTCGAAGAACTTATATAAAACTTCACAGAATTTTATGGTTCTTCAAAATTTGTATAAAAAACTTGAATAAAATTTTTGCAAAATTTGTAATTACGAACTATGTAATTGGGTGCTGTCAAAGCACACTCAAAGAATGCAGATCTTATTTCCCATATATGCGGTTTATCATGAGTACCGGAGGTGCGTTTTACGCTAGTTTCAATTAATTTTTTCAGCTTTATTTTAAAAAAAGACATCGATTTCCTTCTTTACAATATCGTAAGAGGCAATGTTTTGATTGTATCGCAAGTGATGCGAAGCCCCGCTTCGCCTATGTTTTAACTAATGTTTAAACAGTTTTTAGTATATTCAAATTTGTTTATAGTTAGTAAATTTACGAACTCGGAACTGATTTTTTTTTCGTTTAAGCGATTTCGGCTGATGTTATATCGGATTATTCAATTTATGATGCCTGGTTTTCAGGCTGTGTTCATTGTTTGTTGGCATTTTTGCTTTTTTAAATATCTGGTTAACGTTTGCTTTCTAGCATTATATTTCTGTTTTTGGTTTATCGATGACTAGTTACTGCTTGATAAAATACATAATATGAAAGTGTATGTAGGAGACGCTTGTGGGAATTTTTGCATTTTTCACAAAATTTTCATTTTTTTTTCGAGGTTTAGTTAACCGATTTTCAAAAAAATATATAATCATTGGATGGACCGGCTACTCCCCTGTGGTTAGTTAGTCAGCTTGTCTCTTCTTTAACTCACTGGGTGTTTGACGCCCTTCAAAAATTTCTGTGGGAGGGAACTTTAAACCGATTTTTTAATTTTTTTTCTCGTAAACTATGTTGACGAACCTGATATTAAGGATTCAATGAGAAGAATTGTTTTGGGAATAACAAGTTGCTTCACCCTTTTTTGATAGAAAAACAAATTTTTGCTTTAAAAATCGTGCCAATTTTTTCATTTTGACCGTTTTTTGAAGAGTTTCCCTTTTTCGAAAACGCCTGCCAAATCTGAGGTTCAGGTTTTAATTGGAAGAGCAGATTGTGAGAATTCGCTGCACAACTGGTGCCGCCCTAACAACTGGCGAAAGAGTAATCGCCTTGAAAATAAACAATTTTTGAAATTGTGCTCGTTTTTTTGGAAATTCTGTGACTTTTGGAAACTTTTGGTCGACCCAATATTTTTCGCCTTAGCTTCCGCTCGGTCATTGGTTCTCAATATTTGTTCAGGTCGTTTATGAATACCATATGAAACGAAATTTTTAATTTTATGGCAAGTATTGCGAAACTCCGCTTCATCTCTTTGTTTAATTTTCAAATGCCTTGCATTTTTACCTGGAATGAATTTCTATCGAGACATCTGATTTTTTAAAATATTTTGTTAGAACTTATTTTCAACATTTTAACTTTTATCATTTAACATTTTTTCGATTTCAGTTTCTTGTGTTTGTGTTGTAGAGCAAAGGGTGCGGAGCTTCGATTTGACCCTATGAAAATTATCACTTATTTATAACTGTGTAAATTATAACCTAATTTTTAATTAAAAGAATCTTACAGGGTTGTGGGAAAGTCACAAAGAAGATTTTCGTCTTCAAACTTCTAAAGTTGAATTTTAATGTCAAGCTTCTCAGCGAAATATATTTTTTTGATCGATCTGATTTTCTCAAATTCGGTTCGGCTTATCAATAAAGTGTCGATCATAAAAATTATTCAAGAAATATCAAGAGGTTTAAGGCCATATTTTTTTCTTAGAAGTTCGAAAGTTGAGATTTTCTTTGTTTTGTTTCTTTTTACCTGCGTTCACTGGTACTTCTCTGGTTGTATGTAAGCTATGTTTTTTCTTTAGCCGGTACCTTTGATAATCAAATTTTTGTATTGGACTTTCAAATAATTTGAGATAAAAAATATCATTCTCAAACAGGGGCGGATTTAGGAGGCCCTCAGGGATTCGACACCCTCAGTAACCAAAAGGTCTCCACTGTGCAATTATTTTCTGACATCAATTTTCATCGACCAACCCAAAGTTTTTGGCTCCTTGATATTGTGCTCGTTTTTATTCGGAAAATTCATGACTTTGGAACCTTTTTGGTCGACCCAATATTTTTCGCCTTAGTTTCCGCCCGGACATTGGTTCTCAATATTTGTTAAGGTCGTTTATGAACACCATCTGAATTGAAATTTTAAATTTTATGGCTAGTGTTGCGAAACTCCGCGTCATCTTTTGTTTCAATTTCAAATGTCATGTATTTTTACCTGGAATGAGTTTCTATCGAGACATCTGAATTTTTTTTATATTTTGTTAAGAAATTAATTTCAACATTTTAATTTTTATCATTTAACAATTTTTTTGACTTCAGTTTCTTATGTTTGTGTTGTAGAGCAAAGAGTACAGAGCTTCGCTTTCCCCCTGTGAAAGTTATTACTTATTTATAACTGTGTTAATTTTAACCTAACTTTTTATAATAAAAAATTCTTACAGGGTTGTGTGAAAGTCATGAAGAAGATTTTCGTCTTCTAACTTCTAAAGTTGAATTTTTATGTCAGGCTTCTCAGCGAAATAAATTTCTTTTGATCGATCTTGTTTTCTCAAATTCGGTTCGGCTTATCAATAAAGTGTCGATCATAAATTTTTCTAGAAATTTCAAGAGCTTTAAGGCCATATTTTTACACCGAAGACTTTAGTCAAGGTGTTATGGTATCGTGTAACGGGTTTTTTTTTAATGTTATCTGTTGTCAAGTGTCGACAAATAACGTCCACAGTTATCAATTATCATGTGGGCTGGACTATATCGCGCTATGTCACGTGATTGCGTATGTTTGTTTCTTTATTTGTTCATCTTTATTTATTTAATTATCTGTTCTTCTATTTATTTAATTATGTTTAGTTTGCTTATATTTATTTATAATTTATGTATGTACATATTTATTTTTGTTTATTTTTATCACGTGTTTTGTTTATTTATTTAATTATTCTTTCTTTCATTTAGTTTTGCTTTTATTATTTCTGCGTGTGTATTTATTTAATTTATTTATTTTCATTTATTTATATTATGGGTCTGTTTGTTTGGTTATTTGTTCATATATTTTTTTTCATGTCTATTTAATTATTTGTACATTTCACTTTTGCTTTTATTTATTTATTTATTTAACTATTTATGTATTTATTTATTTATTTATTTATGTATTGATTTATTTTTTTATTGCTTATTTATTTATCAGGTGTGTTTTGTTTATTTGTTGATATTTATTTCTATATTTATTTAATTATTCTTTCTTTCATTTAGTTTTGCTTTTATTATTTATGTATGTGTGTTTATTTCATTTATTTATTTTCATTTATTCATATTATGGGTCTGTTTGTTTGGTTATTTGTTCATATATATTTTTTCATGTCTATTTAATTATTTGTACATTTCACTTTTGCTTTTATTTATTTATATATTTATTTATTTATGTATTCATTTATGTATTTATTTATTTATTTATGTATTGATGTTTTTTTTATTGCTTATTTATTTATCAGGTGTGTTTTGTTTATTTGTTGATATTTATTTCTATATTTATTTAATTATTCTTTCTTTCATTTAGTTTTGCTTTTATTATTTATGTATGTGTATTTATTTAATTCATTTACTTTCATTTATTTATATTATGGGTCTGTTTGTTTGGTTATTTGTTCATGAGATATATATTTTTTCATGTTAATTTAATTATTTGTACATTTCAGTTTTGCGTTTACATGTGGTCAAAAATTTAACCTATACATGTGTTAGTACGATTTTTAGTTCTAGAACTGTAATTTCAGGCTCTTTCTCGATATAGCAAAATTTTGGTGTATACATGTATTAGTACGATTTTTTGTTCTGGAACTGTTATTCTTCAATTATTAGTTGTTCAAGTTGTTTGGTTTTTGCTTCAGTTTCTATGCCTTCGGTGTATTGCGCGTAGCGCCTATGTTTTAGAAGTTGGAAAGTTGAGATTTTCATTATTTTGTTTCTTTTTCAACTTCTTATGTTCGTGTTGTAGAGCAAATGGTGAGAAGCTTCGCTTCGCCCCTGTGTAATTTATAACCTAACTTTTTTTTTGAAAAAAAGTTATAACAGGGTTGTGTGAAAGTCAGAGAAGATTTTCAACTTCTAATTTCGAAAGTTGAATTTTAATATCAGGCTTCTTAGCGAAATAATAGTTTTATTTATCGATTTGGTTTTCTCAATTTTGGTTCGGTTTATCAGAAAATTGTCGATCATAAATTAATCTAGAATTTTCAAGAGCTTTAAGGCCATATTTTTTCTTAGAAGTTCGAAAGTTGAGTTTTTCATTATTTTGCTTTTTTCATTTGCGTTCACTCATTCGTTTCTGGTTGTCTGTTGGCTATGTTATTTTGCTTATTCATTACCTCTTTAAATCAAATTTTTGTATTGGACTTTCAAATAATTAGAGATAAAAAATATCATTCTCAAACAAAGGCGGATTTAGGGGGCCCTCAGGGGTTCGACCCCCTCACTTATCAAAAGGTCCCCACTGTATAATTATTTTATGACATCAATTTTCGTCGACAAACCCAAAGTTTTTGGCTTCTTAAAATTGTGCTCGTTTTTCGGAAATTTTGTGACTTTTGGAAACTCTTTGGTCGACCCAATATTTTTCGCCTTAGTTTCCGCTCGGACATTATTTCTCAATATTTGTTAAGGTCATTTATGAATACCATATGAAACGAAATTTTTAATTTTATGACAAATGTTGCGAAACTCCACTTCATCTCTTTGTTTAATTTTCAAATGTCATGTATCTTTACCTGGAATGAATTTCTATCGAGACATCTGATTTTTTAAAATATTTTGTTAGAACTTATTTTCAACATTTGAACTTTTATCATTTAACATTTTTTCGATTTCAGTTTCTTGTGTTTGTGTTGTAGAGCAAAGGGTGCGGAGCTTCGCTTTGACCCTATGAAAATTATCACTTATTTATAACTGTGTAAATTATAACCTAATTTTTAATTAAAAGAATCTTACAGGGTTGTGGGAAAGTCACAAAGAAGATTTTCGTCTTCAAACTTCTAAAGTTGAATTTTAATGTCAGGCTTCTCAGCGAAATATATTTTTTTGATCGATCTGGTTTTCTCAAATTCTGTTCGGCTTATCAATAAAGTGTCGATCATAAAAATTATTCAAGAAATATCAAGAGGTTTAAGGCCATATTTTTTTTTAGAAGTTCGAAAGTTGAGATTTTCTTTGTTTTGTTTCTTTTTACCTGCGTTCACTGGTACTTCTCTGGTTGTATGTAAGCTATGTTTTTTCTTTAGCCGGTACCTTTGATAATCAAATTTTTGTATTGGACTTTTCAAATAATTTGAGATAAAAAATATCATTCTCAAACAGGGGCGGATTTAGGAGGCCCTCAGGGATTCGACACCCTCAGTAACCAAAAGGTATCCACTGTGCAATTATTTTCTGACATCAATTTTCATCGACCAACCCAAAGTTTTTGGCTCCTTGAAATTTGTTTGGGTTTAATTTCACAAAAAAAAACATGAAATCAATTTTATTATTTGATTAAGATTCACATTCTCAGTAAGTTCGGCTACGATTTTTTTCTGCTGGAACGGTTGATTGACATGCCTGGCAATGTTGCTTGAGTTTGATTGGCTGATATCGGCCAATCAAATTCTTCTGCGTTAGTTTTAGCTAAGAGATGGAAATATTTTAATTTTGGACCGTTTTGTGCATAAGACCCGCAAACTTTAAGTAGAGGCAGTATTTTCCAAGTAACTTAAGAATTATTTTTCTGCTAAGTGGAATTCGTCTCATTTTATGCCCGCTAGCTTTCCATGCTATTTTTTGATGTGCCGCAAGTTTTGCGAAGATCCGCTATCCTTCTGCGTTTAAAACATCCTTTTGCTGGAAAGTCAATTAAATTACATCGAATCAGTTGGCAGATAACTGTAACTCTAACTGTAAATTTCTATTTTGATATGAGCCATAATTTGCTGCAGTGAAAATCAGATAGAATGAATAAAAGTATCCTTTTTATTTTGCGGGTCAGTTGTCGGTCTTCGTTAATTGGACCCTTTCCGATTATAGCGAACCCGCAAAACATAGACCTCCTACGATTAAAAAAAATCACTTTGGGGGCTGTACAAGTTTGCTGCTAATCTGGCAGTTAAAACAGGAAAGCCGTTTGTTTTCACGCATACATATCTCCGTCATTATAAACCCTTGAGTCGTATTGTCCATTTTGACTGTTTCCGCCTCCGTTGTTGTCGAAGAATCCATCATTTGGAGGAGGACTCGTCGTTCCGAACATGAGGGATCCGGCTGACTTGTACCCCCCTCCGTAGTTCCCTCCCCCACCTCTCTGAGAGTGATGAGTCATGGAAGGGTGTGACATGACGTCATCATGCGGGTATCCCTGGTATATTATCTCATCCACTTTACCGTCGTCCAGTTTGAAGTAGGCGAAGCTCACTGGGATCTGAAGCAAGATGAGTTTGATGAAATTCAAACAAAATGTGCATAGATGCGAAAATATAGGCTCGAAAGAGATGATAACTATTAGTGCTAATAGTAACAACGTTCTGACTTTGTGGATGGTCTTTTGGCAAAAACGGTAACGTAAATATGTGGATGGTCTTTTGGCGAAAACGGTAACGTAAATAGATGGATAATTTTGAGGTCAAATGGGCGTTATTTTAAATGGTCCAAAATCTTATTTTTATTATTATAATAACGACAATTTGAAATCAACGAGCAGTGCTGTTTCTCTTCCGACTTTCAAAAAAGTGCGAAATATTGATTTTAGGGGTTGCTTTTTTTATTCAGTCAACTTTCGACTTTCGAACGAAACTTTTTTGACGGATGTTTTATACAATCTGAAAAATTGATTTCCTGGGCTCAAATTCGAAAAAAATCACTTGTGACCGTTTTATGTGAAAAAAAAATTGCTAATTTGGCCAATTTGGGATAATTAACGCGCTATATATTGTGTTCATATAAAACTGGTAAGCAGCGGATTAATTCTTGAATCGAAATTGAATTGAGGCAAGTCATTTGGTTCTGTTATTATAATTAAAGACGCTAAATACATCTTTTCAAAGTTTAGATTAGCGTGTGGGGATAAATTGAAAAAAAAAAACTTCGTCAATTTTTCCATCAAAAAACTTTCAAATTGGCGTTAAAGTGATGCCGGAACATTCAGGGCTTTGCCCTGATAAACTAGTAGTCTTGTTAAGAATTGAGAAGAACCCTGCTATTAGAATCACACACCAAAACTAAGACATATGTATAAATTTTGTAGCCTTGTAATTGTGATAAACGTGATAGCATTGTAGCCTTATTGAATCAACATAAAAGGGGCTAGCTGAGTCTCTTTTCCGATATTCGTCTCTTGGTTTTCACTAAAATTGGAGTTTTTAAAGGTTATTTATATTGAATTTTGCGGGTATTAATCCTTGAAAACGTAATTTTAAAATTGAAAAGGTCGATGATAAACTTGGTAAAGGTATATTCTTTCATTACACTAGCGAAATTCAGTGCTACGACTAATGTTTTATTCTAACAACCTAAGTCGCAAATATTGGTGCCATTTGTGGCATCTACACGGCATTTTGATAGCTTGTGCTTTGACAATCGAATAGTAATCAGTTAAAACATTTGATGCATTTTTAATTCATCAAATGAACCGAAAGGAGCTATTTGTTTCAAACAACATAACAATAATAAAAACTTGATTTCAGAAATTTTCTAACTCAATATATCTCGCAATTTTGTGAAATGCATAATTTATTTTAAATGTGGCTTTATACTTTCCAATCTATTACATGCAATTTTAGCGCGGATTCTTTCAGTTTGTTATATTCCAAATGTTTACTTGCAAAATTGTTTGTATTTGGTGCCACTTTTGCTGCATTGCTTTGGCAATTTATTAGCATATGTAGCTGCCCTTATATGTTACTAGTGTCTGCCGATTGTTGAGCGTTGGTAGCGGAGAGGGCAGGGCGTGAGACTCGAATTCTCGAGGTTGCAGGTTAAAAGCCAATATGTTGCAAAGTCTTACTTATTCGAGGCTTTTTTCTATGTTTCTTATTTTACTTTATTAAGCTGCTTTTTCGTCGTGTTCTCGCTAGTGTTTGAGAGGCGCATCTTCGCTTCCGTGTGTAAAAATTGCCGTGATCAATTTCCATGGTTTCGGGCAATTTTATTTCTTAATTTAGCGACGAAGGGGGTGGGGGATTGGAAAAGTGGTAAACTAGCCCAGAGGCGAAGTGACTAGAGCATACCTGGAGGACGCTGAGACACCATCCGATCCAGGCGATGATGCCGTTCCAGCACACCACAGTCCGGTTGATCAGAGTCTCCTCCCCGTCCAGGTACGCCTCCATGGTGATACAGAACACAGAGAAGCACATGCCTGGATCAATGAAGTCATTAATGGATAAGCAGTAGCGAATTAAGGGGGAGAGGGGTGTCTCCTCCATCAACGATTTCACCCCTTTTCCACCCTAAGTGTCCCCTCTTTGGTAAAATTTTACGACATCCATTTTGGCTGATGATCCTAGTTTTTCGTCGGGGCTATTAGATAACTAAAAAAGAAGGGAAGCGCTCGCCGAAAAAATGCGGTTTACTGATAACACCTTCAAAAATTCCTAAGTTTACCACACCTAGAGAAAATCCTAGATCTGCGCCTGTGGATAAGTTTTATCCTGATTTGAATTAAGACATTTATCGGGTTTGCGTCAACCTGTCTAAGCGGATGAAAGTGTTTATCGTATAAGCCGCACTTCTACCGCTCAAAGTTCTCTGGGGTACTTAATGTAGTGTGAATATAAAAAATCAAGACGTTAAAATAAAAAAAACCAAGTCTGAGGGGAAGACTATCAGAAAACTGCATAAAATTAAGCTTAAAAACTGATCTAAACAACACTTATTCATGTCTTTTATAACATAATTAGTAAAAACTGTATAAAAAGAAATTAAAGCGGACCTATCAATATCTTAGCTCTATCTTATTTTGTAATTTAGCGGGGAAATGAAGTTGCCTTTACTTACACTGTGCTATGGTTGAGAGTAATACTGCTATGGCCCTGGTGGGTCCCCACAGTTTGTCCGCGTAGGCGAGGAAGTAGAACATCAAGGACACAAGAGTGGTCACGTGGGTGGCCAGGATGAATGTCCTACCTACTATGATTGGACCTGGCACATCGCCCCCAGATGCTGGGTTCTCGTAGTACAGTTCATTGGCTACAAATGAGTTTTATTTTAATATATCACACTAATAGAAATAGTAACCATATTGTGTAGTTTGTCTGAGATGTTTTCAACTCAGAGGTTCTCCCCACCCCGCCTGCGAGTTTTAAGTATGATGTCTCTTCATATTCTCCGATTGTTACGTAAAATGTCAAGAGGACTGACAAATTCTAGACAAACATTTATGGTATTGATATTTAACTTTAAAAAACCACTCCATAAAAAAGCGTTTTTTTCAACGCGCGCAATCCCCCCATCCCCCTAAAATTTCCGCCTTTAGAAATTTTTTGATGTTGGTCAGCCAAAAAGCGATCTCGTGAAGTTAAACCAAAGGGGGGGGGGACCTTTTGACAAAAATTGGAAATTGGCATCCAGAATTTAAGGGGGGCTGTCGTCCCTGCCTTCCTCTCCCCCTCGGCACGCTACTGTATATTATAGTCTTACTACCAGTTTTTCTAAAATTATGACCAATTAAAATTTAAAAATCGATTATAATTACTCTTCTTTATTGAAAAGACGGCACGATTAGGCGGAAACATAATTGTACACTGAGTCTATTAGAAATGAAGTTACCATAGCCTCTGCATATGTGCGTGTTGTCCATGAAATTGGTATCATCATCCATACCATATCGTACCCCTTTTGCCAACACGTAATCATCCACTTGCATCCTAAAAAAAGTTGTGATTAAACATCATGTTTTTAGCAACCGAACCAAAACTGAGTTTTAGGGTCCATATATTAATTTAATGGTGCGAAATTCAAAATCGAACCGATTTTCTAGACAGATTTTTGGACCATGGTCAAAAGTCAAAACCCACCCAATTCGGTCCAGGACTGTCAAAACATATCTCAAGCAGAATACAAGTTTATACAAAATATATTGAAAGTTATCTCGAGCCTTCGAAAAGTAAAAAGCGATCTGGAAGCTAAAATGATGAAATTGTCTGAAAGTTTTCCTGAAAAATCAGAATCTTATCGTTCTTTCAGAACTTTCATATCAGAACTTTCATATCTTTCAGAACTTTCATATCATTCAAAACCACTCGCAATCTTCTAAATGGGAAATTAAAAATGCTTACACTGATTTTTCTAATGAGTTCTTTATCAGTTGTCCTTTAAAATAAAAAAAAAGTAATAAAATAACTAGAATAAACATCACCAGAGAAATTGGAAAATGAAAAAGAGGAAAATCATAAATTGAGATGGAAAAAAATCGCAGATAGACTCAACTCTGTTTTTTCACAGCTAGGACAATATTCTCGACCCTTGACACTGACAAAAGTTTCCAAAGAAATTGATTTCTTGACTTTTTTCTTTTCTTTTTGTAACAAAGAGAATTGTAGGATGAAATAGATAGATTGTACAAAAATAAATCGGCAGTTTCAACGAATTTGCCTGCTTTGGCAAATAAACCGCAAATATTGCCATTGCTGAACAATCAGTTTTTTCAAAGAACCAGTGGATTCTGGAAAGTTATATTCCAGATTTTCTCAAAGAAACACACAAAACTCCAAAATACAAAAAATGAGATCCAACAGAGGCAATCAACTACTGGCCATTTTTGGTAGCAAATACTCTAATCAAAATAAATAAGCGCCTTCTATATATGCAAGTTTTTGCATATCTAGAAACGAGAAAGGAACAAACTAAAAAGTTGTACTCAATTACGCTTTCAGGAAATAAATTTCGATTGAGGCGGTTGGTAACTTGGATTTAATGAAATTTCACCTAATCTTTATAAAAACGTTCAAATTGTGCAATTTGCTGTTGATACCTCTTTATTTTTTTGGAAAAAACTTGCCTGTTTTGAAGTTTAACACACAAGATACACTAAAGTATCTGTAGCTACATTTATTAGAGGTTGAACTCATGATTACTGCAGGCAAAACAGATGTAATCAGATTTGAAAAACACTCAAACTCATTCAGTTTTTTATTTGTTAAAAAGGAGGAATGAAAAAGTGAGTTTTTCAAACAAAAGCAACAATTGTTTTAGCAAATTTGCTTGTAGAATTAGGTCAAATTACTACCGGCATAAACTGTTGTTAATGGTACATGTTGTTTCACTGAAAATCAAAGTTTTAACCCGTTGGGTAGTGTGGAATTTTTTTCCAGAAGGTACAAGTGAAGAATGTCAGTCGGTTAAGTCGACAACTAAACTGGGGAGTAAAAGTTTGCATCGTGAAAAATAAGTTTGACAGATGTAGTGACATACTTTTGAAAAACAAAGTAGTTACTACAGATCTATTTGTTTGCTGAAAAATTATGACCTGTTTGCTGGAGCACAAATCCTCAAGCTAGAGAAAACAAGAAAAATAAAATCATACCAAACGCAATTGACGTTAAACAATAGATCGAAAATAGTATGTACTGGATAGACTTCCGGGATACTACAGATTTTTGGATTGCTGGAAATTTTGTCCAGAAATGGAAAAAATTATCTAAAAACTTGAGATTGATAAGAAAAAATCACAATATAAACTCGAAACTAATCAACATTTAAGACATCTAAATAAACAAAAACCTTTTAACAAAAAGTTTAGGGGTTTTAAAATATATATATAAAAAGCTACCACAATTTTTTTTTATTGTAAAAATTTGTGAAAGTCAGCCTCGATTGAATTAACCTTATTTGTCGATATGTTCATTTATTTAATAGAACAAGTACTCTCTCACCTCCTGCTTGTTTTAGCGAATTTACATGCAAATCATTATAGTTTGTGTTTTGTTTTAAAATTGATAATTGCGAAAAAAAAATTTTTTTTTTTGCCAATTTGGAATGAAAAGTACTCGTTGGACGTCATAATACGCGCTATTTTGCAATATTTGTAATTCCCAATGCATCAGCAAATCAGTCTAACTGGGAAGTGAACCCAAATTAAACATTTTTGAAAGCCAAAAAACTTTATAAAGAAAAGCGTGAGAGCTCGCAGCAGGGCGAAAAAGTGATGCATTCAGACTCTCCTCTATCAATCTGTTGAAAGTTTTCTAGATTCACTAAATTGATAAACTTTAGGAAAAAAAAGTTTTTGGTTCAGCATCATATACAGAAATTCTCGATAACTGAGTTTAAAATTAAACACGACTGCTGTCAATGAAAAAATTTTGTTTCAAAAATTGATGAAGTTCAAAAATTGATGAAGTGTCCCAAAAAAAATTCGTTTATTGTTTTGTGACCCACGCGCCAAGTAAACTCCAGAATGATGCCTTTTTTATGTTATGGCAGTATAAAAAACTAATTATATATTTTGTATTTCAATTTCAAATAATTCAATACGTCGCTTAAACTCTGTAAGAACGCAATATATTGCATGTTAATCAAAATTATAAAAAAGTGAAATATCTCTTTTAATGAGCTCAAGGCAACAAAATTAATCTAATGCTTTACAAAAATTTGTCAGAAAGGTTTATTTTAAACTTTGATTTTAGTCTGAATAAAAACCACACCAAGCATTAATATTTGTTATTTTTTTCAAAAACAACAATACAACGCCAAGCGCGGGCATTTTGGCAGTGACTTGGAATCCATGGTCATATTCTGTGGTCTTTTGCTACAAAAGTTCACAAGTAAAAAAATAAACTCAAACAGGTATTTTATGGGGGCCTTAGCGACTGGCATATGTGCCTTTTAGCGTGCCTTAAATGCTTGAACTGAGTGAGCTTTCAGATAGAAAAAAACGTAGCCTGAAATTTCAGATATATCCGACGACCACTTGATTGGTTAGTTTGTTCAAACTTTATTTCCACCTTTTGAAAATTCAGCTAAGTGTACGCTGTTCAAAATGGAAACTTGAGTACACAAAACGCGAATCTTATTACTAGTTCTTACTTAGTTTCATGAGCAATCTACACACATGCTAATAATCCTCGTAAATTTTGTGTCTGTCAACCCAGGAAGTGAACAATTCAGGATTTTACTCTCTAAAATGCCTGTTTTTAATGTCCATTTTGGACAACATTTGCTTCAGTAAATTTTTTATATAGGCCAAAATCAAAGGATCGGAGTGACCCTCTATGAAAGTATTAATACTAGATTTCGTTGATTCATCTTTTTTTCCGGGTCTGAAAATGCCAGTTTTCCTCATCTGAACCAAGTTTCGCATCGTAGTGAAATCTTTCTCAAATAGGCGGAGTAAAAAAACTGTTTAGGCGACGTCAGACTTTCTCAGCGAGGAAACGGAAACATTCAATGTGAAAACTTTATTAAACTCGTATGTCTCTCTATTTTTCACGCGAAGTAAAAATCTTAGTGCAAATGAGAAAAACTGGAATTTTCGGACCCGGAAAAAGTTTCATAGAGGGTAGCTCTGATCATTTGCTCTTGGTCAATAAAACTTTTACTGAAACTCGAAGGAAATATTGTACATAATGGACTTTGGAAATAGGCGTTTTAGAGAGTAAAATCCTGAATTTGCGCTTAACTTTCTCCACAAGTGTAATACTTTTTCAATGCGATATCTGACAACAGTAACTCCGAATTCAACAAAGTTTACTTTGAGTTGAACACGCCAAAAAAAGTGAAAATGAGCTGAACAAATTTCATTTTACTTGAACAAAACTTATTATGAGTTGAACAAACTCCAAACAATTCAAAAAAAACTGAAAAGCCTGGAATCCCCCTAAAAATTATCGAAAATATTCAAATGAAGTAAAGCAAGCACTTAATGATGCTGCTCAGAATTGAGACGACTTTGATGAGATCGCAAAACTTTCATTCTGAGATTTTTGGCGCGTAAAATTTTTGAAGCATATAAAAGAAAATAGGAAAAATAATAAAATAATGAAAATGAAATAATCTAATCAGTTTTTTTTAATTTTTGCCATTTTGACCATTTTAGAGTAAAGATTTGCCCTGAAGCTCAATTCAAAATAAACTTAATTCATTTTGGTGTTACTTTTGTCAGATATGGTGTTGGAAAGGTATATTAAACCAACTTTGGCGTCATAACGAACAATTAAAAGCAGCCGAAGTTTTGTGGACTTGGCCTTTAGACGATTTATAAAGACACTTATAAGTTTCTGCTTGCCTGTCGTTGGGAGCCACATATCTGAAGTAGATGTAGCTGGCACACCACCGCCACACCCCATATCTGATGACGTCATTGCACTTGAACCAGGGTCCATGGGCGATCCCACTACCCACCATCACCAGGCCAGAGAACACCATCAGCACAATCAACACCACGCGGGGGGTCTTGATCCCGCCAAAACCTCCTTCTTCTTCGTTAACGCCCATTGTTACGTAACGCACGTACGTTTGTTTTAGTCTAATATCCAAGTTAAGTTGAGCAAGTTTCAAACCAATTCAAATAAGGAAAGTGGTATGTCACTGAATATAGTAAATGACTTGTTGCTTATTCATTACTTTAACTTTGTTACTTTAAAAATGTCGAACTGAAAGTAAGAAAATTTGGTTGATATAAATTTTAGTTCAGCTGGCAAGTTTTCGTGTCTTTTACATTCCTGGAAAAGTTTGCGTTAAAATTGGGCAAATTTTTTGTAGTGTTCGATTGTAAATTGTTTGGTGGGTTCAATATTCGGATTGTCAATAATGATGGAGGTTTCTAACGCTGTTTTTAAATCTGGTTTGTTCAGCCGTCGTTTAATGCCGTGATATTTCACTGAAAAATATATGCAAATAAAAAAAACGTTTCAAGCTTGGAAAAAAACGTTCAATTAGAAAAGGAAACGAAAAATACTATGCGCGTAGCTTAGCATATGCTCGCTTTTGCATTCTGTTTCTGCAGCATTGAATTTAAAAACAAACATTAGTCACATTTTTTATATTTTCCTGTTTCGAATGACTAAACCTTTTGTTCATGCATTATGCACAAAATTAGAAAAGGCATAAGAAAAAAACATACATATATATCTATTCGTTTAGTTGGCTAGTTTGAAAATTATGCTGATGCTCTGAGATGAATTATTATTAGTTCTTTGATTTTTGTTAAGGTGTTTTTAATGGATCTTTTTTTTTCGGCCAACCTGTTCATACTTTCAAGCTCAATGATCATAGTACACTCATTTTCCGGAAAAATTTGCGTAGTTAAGCGCAATTCGGAAAGTTAATTTAAAAATATTTGATGTTTCTGCGCGCTCATTATTTGTGTACAGATTTGTTGTAAAAATGGCTTTGTGTTCGGGAAAACTTGACCAACAAGATTTACGTAGCATTTTCGACTCAGCTTACAAAGCTGTCTTTTTTAAAAACAACAACTGAATGTCGCCAAATCTAAACTCGAAAATGAATTTTACGCTTACTTATTTTTGTTCCGAATAAAATTTTATGCAAATGTACTCTAATCAATCTGTATTTTAATTGCAAATTGTATTCTAATCTACTTCTAACTTGAAATCTAAGATGTTATAAAAACAATACAGTTTTCCATACTACGTATTTACTGCTTTCAAAAGTGTTTTCAAGTCCGCCAGTTGGTTGTTTTTTGTTAGTAATGAATGAGGCCAAAATCTTCATGGTTGTCCAATTTAACCCAGCTTGTGACCATAGCATTGAGCCGTTTCTCATCAATGTTACTTAAATGAAATATAAGTTTTATTTGGATTGGCCAACCTAATGCTTGTACTGGTAAACTAACCTGTATAACTTACCCATTTACAAAAACTAACTGAAATCAGCACAAAAAAATATTTATCTTATACGTTGAAATTTCTCACTGTAAAATTTCTAGAACTAACCAATCATGATCCATTACTAAATTTATGATAATTTGTAAAGCTGAAACTGTTCGTAGTTTCAGTCATAGAAAATATAATTCAACTTAGAAAACAGTTGCCTCTTTCTCTCCTCAAACGTCGCAGGAATACCAGTATCTACTAGATCTATTGAGAATAAGAAACATCGAAGAGTAGGATTAGGATTGGTATTGGACTAAGAAGTTGCACGAATACATCGACCCCGAAACTCATCTCGTGCGATCAACAAGTCTCGAGCAGACCTCAAACAAATTTAGAATTAGAGAAAACCTGGATTTAGAAAACAATAAAAAAGACAAATTATTTTTGAGAAAAGGAGACAACCAAAGGAAGAAAAGACTAAACACTTAACACAAAAGAAAATGAAAGTTCACAAACAAGTAAAGACATTTCTCAAAGTGACGCTCACAAGTATACCCACAAGCCTAACGCACCAGTCGTTCAAATGACATCTTGAGCATGTGCTTAGAACCAACTCGTGTGCTTAGAACTAATAGTTATCAAGAAGGGCTCTAGGATGAGCAAATTTGCTGAACAACCGAACTAAAAAACGGTTTTGCGAAAACAACTAAAAAGATCATAGCCAAATTGAATCACTAAAAGTGCAAGTATATAAATAATAAAAAGACTTCACAGAGCAAAAGAAACGAGCAGCAAAAGGGAGATGAAAACTCGATAACATTCCGACTATGGCATGGCAAATTGGTTGGTTTTGCTTGCACAGTCAGAACTTTCGCAGGATATAAAGTATGGAGCCAATAATGCAGCTAATGTATCCATTTAACAAGAACTATGGGCAACTCGGTATTTAACTCAAAAATATGAATCCTTGTCACTTGGCGCTTCACACAGAGAAGTAAATCCTTATCTCATTAATCGATCAAAAGGAGTGAACAAATAAGAATGCACGTACACTTGCTCTAACTTACAAAATCGACACTTCATTTGCACAATATCTCCTACTTCAGCATAATCTTTTTGATTTGCAACAATTTCTCAATCTCAATAGACCTCAACAACATGTTTTTCACTGACAAATCAATTATCACTTTCCTGAAAGGATCTAGAAGACTCCCCATCCATCCCACACAAGAAAAATTTTGATTTTAATAATTTCTAAAACCCCGGGTGGGTAGAACCTGTTCAAAAAATTATTTATTTTATACTTTGATTCTTGTCACTGTAAAATATTTGTCACTAACCCATCGTGATCCATTACTAAAACTTATGATAGTTTGTAAAGCTGAAACTATTCATAGTTTCAGCCAGAGAAACTATAACTCAATTTGGAAATCAGTTGCCTCTTTCTTTCTCTTATACCTCGCAAGAATACCAGTTTTAACTAGATCTATTGAGACTACGAAAAAACTAGAGTAGATTAGAATCATTAGACTAAGAAGTTGCACGAATCTGTGCATCAGAAAAAAAGATAGCGTGACGAACAGACGGTGTACTTTATCCAAAACTAATCTTTGAAAAGGCCACCCCGGTCCTAAACTCACACTGATTCTCATTTTACGTTAGAATCCAGCATTTTGAAGATAAATGTAAAACAAAACAAATCGTAGATCAGTTCAAAGCCCTGAATGTTCCGACTGCCCCTTCATCCATGTCAAACCGTTTGGGAAATTTTTTTGAAAAACTATTAATTTTGGACAATATCAAATATCAAGCGGAAAATTTTGAGTTGTACGACATTAAAACAACCTATTAGCTAGCCGCAATTCAATTTAGAACAATTTTTTTCGCGCGGAACAATTCACCATGCATAAATAAGGCGAGTCACGCTCCAGCATCATAAATAAAATTTTCGAAGCCCGCATAAAACTGACCAAATTGGCAATTTTCAAACTCGTAGATCTTTGCCAAAATTGATCGAAGGTTAAACATCTTTTTATCTTTTTATATTTGATCATAAATAAAATTGCTCCAGCACACCACAGTCCGGTTGATCAGAGTCTCCTCCCCGTCCAGGTAAGCCTCCATGGTGATACAGAACACAGAGAAGCACATGCCTGGATCAAAGAAGTCATTAATGGATAAGCAGTAGCGAATTAAGGGGGAGAGGGGTGTCTCCTCCATCAACGATTTCACCCCTTTTCCACCCTAAGTGTCCCCTCTTTGGTAGAATTTTACGACATCCATTTTGGCTGATGATCCTAGTTTTTCGTCGGGGCTATTAGATAACTAAAAAAGAAGGGAAGCGCTCGCCGAAAAAATGCGGTTTACTGATAACACCTTCAAAAATTCCTAAGTTTACCACACCTAGAGAAAATCCTAGATCTGCGCCTGTGGATAAGTTTTATCTTGATTTGAATTAAGACATTTCTCGGGTTTGCGTCAACCTGTCTAAGCGGATGAAAGTGTTTATCGTATAAGCCGCACTTCTACCGCTCAAAGTTCTCTGGGGTACTTAATGTAGTGTGAATATAAAAAATCAAGACGTTAAAATAAAAAAAACCAAGTCTGAGGGGAAGATTATCAGAAAACTGCATAAAATTAAGCTTAAAAACTGATCAAAACAACACTTATTCATGTCTTTTATAACATAATTAGTAAAAATTGTATAAAAAGAAATTAAAGCGGACCTATCAATATCTTAGCTCTATCTTATTTTGTAATTTAGCGGGGAAATGAGGTTGCCTTTACTTACACTGTGCTATGGTTGAGAGTAATACAGCTATGGCCCTGGTGGGTCCCCCCAATTTGTCCGCGTAGGCGAGGAAGTAGAACATCAAGGACACAAGAGTGGTCACGTGAGTGGCCAGGATGAATGTTCTGCCTACTATGATTGGACCTGGTAAATCGCCCCCAGATGCTGGATTTTCGTAATACAGTTCATTGGCTACAAATGAGTTTATTTTAATATATCACACTAATAGAAATAGTAAACCTATTGTGTAGTTTGTCTGAGTTGTTTTCAACTCAGAGGTTCTCCCCACCCCGCCTGCGAGTTTTTAAGTATGATGTCTCTTCATATTATCCGATTATTATGAAAAGTGACAAGAGGACTGACAAAGTCAAGACAAACATATTTGGTATTGATATTTAACTTTGTAAAACCACTCGTTACACCATAAAATAGCGTTTTTTTTTTTCAGCGCGCGCAATCCCGACCCCCCCCCCCCCTAAATTTAGTTATCTTGGCGCCAAATGCGCCTTTAGAAATGTTTTGCTGTTGGTCAGCCAAAAAGGGTCTCGTGAAGTTAAACCAAAGAGGGCCCTTTTGACAAGAATTGGCTACCAGAATTGAAGGTGGGCTGTGAAGGTGGCTACCAGAATTGAAGGTGGGCTGTCCCCTTCGGCACGCTACTGTATATTATAGTCTTTTTACCAGTTTTAAGAAAAAATTGTGACCAATTAAAATTTAAAAATCTATTATAATTACTCTTCTTTATTGAAAAGACGGCTCGATTAGGCGGAATCATAATTGTCCTCTGAATCTATTAGTAATGAAGTTACCATAGCCTCTGCATATTTGCGTATTGTCCATGAAATTGGCGTCATCATCCATATCATATACGACCCCTTTGGCCAGCACGTAATCATCCACTTGCATCCTTAAAACATGTTTTTAGCAACCGAATCAAAACTGAGTTTTAGGGTCGAGATATTAAGTTAATGGTGCGAATTTCAAAATCAAACCTCGGCCGAAAACCGATTTTCTAGACAGATGTTTGGATCGTGGTCAAAAGTCAAAACCCACCCAATTCGGTCCAGTACTGTCAAAACATATCTCAAGCAGAGTACAAATTTATACAAAATATATTGAAAGTTATCTCGAGCCTTCGAAAAGTAAAAAGCGATCTGGAAGATAAAAAGTTGAAATTGTCTGAAAGTTTTCGTGAAAAAACAGAATCTTATCATTCTTTCAGAACTTTCATATCAGAACTTTCATATCTTTCAGAACTTTCATATCATTCAAAACCACTCGCAATCTTCTAAATGGGAAATTAAAAATGCTAACATTGATTCTTCTAATGAATTCTTAATCAGTTGTCCTAACTCCCAAAATAAAAAAA